ACTTATAATTAAAAAAGATTTTAAAAAGAAGAGGAGAATTAATGCGAGAATGAAATCTGAATTGGATACTGGAAAGTTGATGACAGATCCGAAAAAAATAGTCATCTGAGCTCCTTAGACTGAGTTTTAGAGACAGAATTAAGATATTATTTATTTATTTATTTATTTATTAAAACATTTCTATGCCGCCCCTTGCCAAAGCCTCGGGGCGGCTCACAACACAAAATAAAATACAATAAAATACAAAAATTACAATATAAAATTAACAATATAAAATAAATAACAATATAAAAGAAGCCGCCCTGGCCAGATAAATAAGCAAATATTGTTAACAATTAAAATGACGCTTAAATAAAAATATTATTAATATGAATGCATTGAATTTTTCTTTTAAGAGAATCAAAGCAGTTTTTCCATGAGTCTTACAAATATAGTGTCAGAGCATTTCAGGGAATATGTCAGAGTTAGGATTACAGCTGGTTCTGGATTGAGATCACTGGAGCCCCCAACAGTTGAAGAACTGAAAAATGGACTGGTGGAATGTTCTGTTTAGAGGATGGTTAGAGGAATATACAGCAAGATAAGTGGCTCTTTTTAAAGATGGAGAAAACTGCGGAGGTTCTGAAGTGGTTGGAGGATCTGTTGTTGTATAGACTGAGGAAATTTTTTTTTGCATTACATTTTTATGGAGTGTTGATGGATAGATTCCGAGGGCTGATTGTACTGGTTGGATCTGTATCAAATTCCCTTGGCAATGTTATCTATTTCAGCCTGCTCTGTTTATTTTTTATTTTATTTTATTTTATTTTATTTTCCGATTTATATCCTGCCTTTTTCCTACAAAGGGCTCAAGGCAGCTTACATCCTCCTCCTCCTCCATCTTATCCCCACAACAACAACCCTGTGAGGTGGGTTGGGCTGAGAGTCTGTGACTGGCCCAGAGTCACCCAGTTGGCTCCATGGCCGAGCGGGGACTCAAACCCGGATCGCCTGAGTCCCAGTCCCACGCTCTCACCACTACACCACACTGGCTGTCTATTATAGTCATTTTGCTTTCAAATAAAAAAAGACCAAAAAAAAAAGGATTTTAAAAAATGCTGGCCCTAAGGAAAAGAACATCACTTGCAATTTAGGTATGCCAAGTAAATCTGCTGGTTTTTTCCTGGTCTTGAGTAACTCTGTTTTGCTTGTGCAGATCACGCTTTGGGTAGTGCGTAGGTCCCTAAAGCAGGCATTCTGTCCTTTCCTCCCTTTCCTGCCTCAACCTGCGGTCCCTTCTGTTCCCACTCTCCTATCCCTGGACATCCCTTGACCTGGGTCCTGCCACCTTCACCTGTCCAAAGGCCCCTTCTCTCATTCTAGCCCCCTTTCCCCACAGTTGTTCTTGGGCCTTTGCACACCATGCAGTGCAACCCGACTCTAGAACAGCGACTGCCATTCCAGGGGTGGGCGATTACCTGGCTGGTGCAGCACCTGGCGTCCCTGCTTACCTGCCCAGATCGCTGCTGCTGTCCCCGATCTGTGAGCAGAGTAACGGTGGGGATTCTATGGCAGTGCGTGAAGCCCGACCCCCCCTTCCAGGAAGTGCCGCCTCGTGGTGGGTTGAATCCCTCCTCCAGTCTGGGGTTCTGCACCCCGCTTTAAGGACTGCATTAAGAATGTTTAATATGTTGTAAGCCACCTAGGAAGGCCTTGGGGCAATTATAGGTGGCATATAAATATGAGAATTGCATGCATGCATGTTTTGCACACTCTGAGCACCCCAAGAAGCGCAGTTTGGAAGCCGGCAGCGAGGAATTAGTAACTTCAGGATAAAACAGTCTGTTCCCTCGCTGATGCAGAGAGAGGCAGGGGGCAATTTAAATGCTGTGCATTTTCCCAGCTAGAGATGCGGAGGGTTAATGAGATGTGAACATGCCTCCTTGGAGACATCCTGATTGATTTTTGCGGCACGGGCTCCAGCTCGGCCGTGGCGCTGGAGGATTCCATGTCCTGCCTTGCCTCCTGAGTGAGAAACAGGCCTGTGCCGCGCGGATCCTCCCAGACATGGTGCATCATCCGTGCTCGTCCCGATCACCTCCTGTGACGTGCGGCTTGACAGGAGGCGGCCGGTGTCGAATTGAATGGAATTGGGGGTGGCAAGGGCACAGTTCTGCCGGACGGCAATATTCCCCAGAAGGCGAGTGTGGGGGGAGTCATTTTGTCCCCCACACAGTTGTGGCACATGGGTTGGACTGCAGAGAGCGCTGAGCTGGGGAGCAGGATGAAAGCGGGTCTCTCCAAGCCAGCCAACCAGGGCCTCTTCTGGGGTTTAATGCCCCGGCCCTGGTTCCCGCGCCGAATCTCTGCAGCCGCTTCTTGAGCCCGATTCTCAGCTGTCTTTCCCCGTGAGCGCCTGTACGCAAAGCCTGTGCTTTGCCACGGAGCCGCAGCCTCTCCCCACAGGATGGGGAAAAGGGCGAATTACGCTGCAGGCGACACAACGCTGCCAGGCTCAGGGTGCTTGCAGCTGTCTTGGGGTGGTGCCGCAGGACGAAGCACTTCTCTGGTTCTGCATCTCGCACCGGCAGTGCAAGGACATCGCCGCAACCCGTTTCCCCTGCCCTCTTTCCCCAGGCGCTCATCTCTCCGCCACCAGCACCAGATGTCAAGGGGCGAGTGATGCCGCCTCGCCCTGGTGGGATGGTGCCCAGACTGGACCCTTGGCCTGATTCTACAGTGTTGCCCTCGCTCAGGCCAGTGCCAGCTAAATAAAACCAGTTAGCCTTTGATTTATTTATCCTTACATGTGTATCCGCCTATTTTTCCTCCTGCAAGGAACCCGAGGCACCTTTCCTTTCCATGGAACCCAAGGAGCACCTTCCCTCCCCTTTGATCCTCATGGCAGCCCTGGGAGGTGGACTGGGCTGAGAGTCTGAGACTGGCCCAAAGTCACCCAGTGGGCCTCAAGGCCAAGTGGGACCTGAATCGGGGCCTCCTGAGCCACAGCTCTTCCTGAACACCACACGGCCGGGCATCCCTGCACGCATCTTCAAGTTGCAACGATTACGGCAGCCCTGGCGTGCGAACCAGGATCGTCCCCTGTGTTGGCGATGGAAGGACTTAGCGGGGAGCGACGGGCTGGACTACGACCAGCTATCAGTTTGCAGCAACGGTGGGATTTGGGCTGGTTTGTAGCTCCCATCCTTGGGTTGCTGTGCTCTAAACGTGAAGCAGCAACTCCTGGAGATGGTGATTAGGACTGGGAAACATAGAAACAGAGTGAGTCAGAAGGGGTCTCCCGGGCCATCTAGTCTGACCCCCAGCTCCAGACGGCTCCACTCACGACATGCCCACCATGTGCACGTCCAGCCTATCCTTGAACACCCGCACCGATGGGGCCTCAACCACCTCCCGTGGAAGCCCATTCCACACCCTCGGGGTCCTGACTGTCAGGAAGTGCTTCCTGGCATCCAAATGGAACCTTTGGTTCCCTGAGCTGTGCTCCGTTGGAGTGTGTTCTGCCTTCCCCTGCAGGGGAGAACAGGTCTCTCTCCACCTCCGTGTGACACCCCCTCACATACCTGTATGTCGCCAACAGATCCCCTCTGAGTCTCCTCCAGGCTGAAGAGACCCAGTTCCCTCAGTCTCGCCTCATACGGCATCCCCTGCAAACCAGCCACCAGCCTTGTGGCCCTACGCTGCACTGACTCTGACCTGGCTACATCCTTCCTGTAATGAGGTGCCCAAAACTGAGCACAATACTCCAGTTGCGGGCGCACCAGAGTCGTGTAGAGTGGCAGCAACACCTCTCTCAACCTAGAAGCCACACTTCTGGCTATGCAACCAAGGGTGGCGTTCGCCCTCTTGACCACCGCATCACACGGCTGGCTCATGTTCAGCCTGCAGACAACCAGCACCCCGAGGTCCCTTCCACAAGTGCTGCTCTCCAGCCACTTGTCACCTAACCTGTACTTATGACACCCATTCCTATGCCCCACGTGCAAGACGTTGCACTTACCCGCATTGAACGCCATCCTGTTGTCTCCTGCCCGCTTCCATGGTCTGTCAGGCAGGTGAGGGATGGCACCTCCTTCCCTTCCTGCCCCCAGCTGATCCAAACTGGGGTGGGAACCGCCGTGCGTGTGATTCTCCTTGTAAGAGTCGGAGGTGCTGTGCCTGCATGCACCGGTTGCTGGGGAGCTTGGGCGGTGGAGGCCTTGCACTCATCCTGCTTGGGGACCCTGTGGGCAGCTGGTTTGCCACCGTGCGTACAGAGTACGGGACTGGATGGACCTGGGATCTGATCCAGCAGGGCGTTGCTTATGTTCTTATGGCCTTAAGAAGAACCAACTGTGCTTCGACTGGAATTCTCTCATTGGATCTCATTTGGTCTTGATCCAAAGAAGTAGGTAGTTTGGATGCTCTCACTGGTTGCCTTGAGATCTTTTAAAGTACAGTTCCCATAATCTCTGACCATTGGGCATACTAATTGGGGCTGATGGGAGTCATAGTCCAAAACATCTCGGATACCATGTTGATTTAGGAACAAGGTTTTTTCCTCCTCCTTCCAAAATGAGGAATCACTCTTTGTGGTGGCATGAGAACTGGAACCATGTAGCTTGGCTCAAGTGAGACTGTCTCGGACCTTCTAGATTGCTGGATTAGCCAGAGATGTTTTTAGGGCATTTCCAGATTTTGGAAGTTTTGCTGTTTTTTCCTATGCAGTCCTCTCTACGTGCAGCGACTCCACAAATGCAAACGGTCAAATGGCAACAGGAATGCCAAGACGATCTCTTTGCCAGTTCTCCTGTGCCTTTTTGGCAGCTAAAGACTGATAGGACTATAAAGCAACGGGGCAAAGACTTTTGGGTGTTTTCCGTATTTGAGTGGCTGGCAAAACACGATCCCTTCATAGAGATGTAGGCTTGAATTTTTGGTCCACGGGTGCGAATGTGGCCTCTCCCAGCCTTCCCGAGCTCGTTGTCACCCATGGTTTTCTTTTCCCCTTCTCCTTCCAGGAACTCTGCGATGACCCGCACCTCTTCGTGGACGGCATCAGCTCCCACGACTTGCACCAGGGCCAGGTGGGCAACTGCTGGTTCGTGGCGGCTTGTTCCTCACTGGCATCCAGGGAAGCCCTGTGGCAAAAGGTAAGGACACACCTTGAACCAAGCGGCCTCGTTGGCCCCACCTCAAGCTGCGCCTTGAGACAGATTTAGCTTCAGGTGGCGTCGCATCCTTACCTGTCTGCGGAGAAAGGATTCGGCTTGCTGAGCCCGCTTCCCTGCATAGCCTGGACTGACTTGGGTCTGTTTTCACAACCCAGTTACTGCTGAAGAAAACACTGAAAGGTTCTCCGAATCGGCAAATAGGGAATTTCTGGGCTCAACGCACCTGTTGTCGTTCCGTGTGTTCCTGCACTCTGTCTTGTGATTAGGCGGCAGGTGTTTTTAAAAGTAGATGCATCCGCACCAGTCTTTTCAGATGAACTGGGGAGAAGTTTGGAATGCACCTTTTCAACCCCTGAACCTTGTTGCCGCATCCGCACACCAATCTTTGCAAGAAGGCTCTGAAATCTACCCGTCGGCACTCCAGCCCCAAAATATTAAGAATGGCAAACAGTTCAGCACGAGGAGCTGAGTTTTTAAAACCTGACTTCCATTTCCTTCCCTTGGTATAAAAAAAAGTAGACTAACCTTAATGCACCGTATATCCAGAATATGATCCAATAGGGACTCTTGGCTCTGATTCTGTTGAAGTACTGAAATAACATTCCTGCAGATTAAAAAAAAGTCCATTTCACGCACATGTGAAACCTTTAGTTTTCACAGAAGTGCTCCCTTTTTCTCTTCTCCCCCCACCCCCAATCCCACAACAATTTTACATTTTGGCTGAAAATGCTTTTCTGTCAGCTTCTGAAGCACAGTATATTTATGAATAGGTTCTCTTTAAAGCAGAGAACCTATTAAAACAGAGAACCTAAAGTCCCAGCTTGTGCCTTCCAGACACATTTGGACTGCAGCACCCAGAATTCCCAGGCCATGGTCCTGCTGGATGGGAATTCTGGGAGTTGTAGTCCAAATGCCTCTAAGGTCCACCAGGTTGGGGAAGGCCGCAAAGCTCATGGAGCAGCCCTGAATCTATCCACATGGAAGTGAGCCTCACTGATTTCAGTAGGGCTTCCTCCCGAGTAAGGATTGTACTGAAAATCTTTCACTGGGTCTGTTTGCATTTTCAGCAGAATAACTACATGCAGTTAATAATGTTTAACAGCAAACTGAGGACAAATGCATCTAGTAAGAGAAACAATCCACCCAATGAAGCTGCTGGCCAATGCTGCCCTCCGGTGGAGGCCAGCAGAATTTCCACCCGCTTGCGCTCAGTGCTAACATCCCTAGAGAGTTCGAACTGGCAATTGCCAGAGGTTTTCCTTTGCTTTCAGAAACAAGTCGCTAGTCCTCAGGATTGTGAGGAGCACGCTGACAGAGAATTTGAAGGTTCTCTGAAGCAGGAAAGTGGCGGGAGAGGGTCCATGCATCTGTTTGCTTTCGTTTAAGAGTTAAGCACACTTCCCAATGCAACTGCAAGTCGTGGGCACATGCTGACACGCTGCCTCCCATCACCGGGGCAACACGCAGCCTCCTGGCCTAGCAGCCCTTGGCAGCCGCCTCCTCCACAGAGGTCTCCAAGCCCCCTTTAAAGCCCCCAGTTGGGCCTCCACTGCGTGCAGTGGAAGCAAAGTCCATTGTGTATTTATTTATTGAAAGCTTTTCTGTCCTTTCCCCTACAGAACATCTCAGAATGGCTTACAATAAATACGCAGAATAAAACAAACCCCGCAGCATCCGACCGTTAATATACTAAAACCCCAGTTAAAATCAATGAAACATTAACATAATGTGCAAATAGAAAGGGTTTTGCCTGATGCAGAGAAGAATATAATGTCGGCGCCAGGCAGACCTCTCTGGGGAGCGTATTCCATAGTCGGGGTGCCACTGCAGAGAAGGCCCTGCTGTGGGTACTCCCCCTCCTCATCTCCTCCTTTTCTGTCAAAAAAGGGGGCGGGGAAGGAGGGCTGCTGGAGCAGGGCCTCCGCCTCAGATCTCAAGTTGGACTGAGGACTTTTCTTTGACCTGTCCCAGATCTCCCCCTGCTCAGGCTTCTGGGTGACCCTCTGGGGCTCCAGTCTTATGAGGGAGGCAAGGAAACCTCGCCCACTCCACTTCCTCCACACTATTTTGAACGCCTCGTTCACCTCTTTTCTGAGCGAACCAGCCCCAGGAGCAGTAACCTTTCCACCTGGGGGCTGGCTCCAGCCCCTTCCGCATTTTCGTTCGCCCCTTTCTGAACTCTACAATGCCCTTTTTTAAGGTGCAGTGACCAGAACCATGCCCAGAATTCCAGGAGTGGCCACACCAGGGTGGATTTGATTTAAATTGATTTAAATCACTAGTCAGCAAGACTAGATTTAAATCATGGTATCCTGCATCGTTTGCACGCATGTCTGCCTTACTCATAGGCAGAGAAACTTCGTTAAAATAGCCCCAAACTGGGTCTCTCTGATGTCCTGCTACCATTATAGCTCTTCTCCTCCAGGGAAAGAGTAACAATCCCAACAATCTTCTTCTGTGCATTGATTTTTTTTTAACTTAGCACTTAAGAGGTTGGGGTTGATTCTGCATACATAGATTTGCAAAGGTATAATGGGATTAAGATGTTTTTCTCAACTCTGCATGCTTAATTTATACCGTTTTTGCTGTGAAGAAGAGGCATGAGATCTCTGCAGGCGCAAATTCACAGTTTTGAGCAAACATCTGTGCGAATACCTTCTAGATAGAAAAAATGCCCAGTAATCTTACAGAAACCTCTGAAAGAGCTTAACATTGTGAATGCATTAATGGAATTCATTTACCAACAAATTTAAACATTGCATGACCATATGGTCTCATGCTACATCATGGAAAACTAATCCTTATTTCATGATGAATAACCTTTGGACTGTAATGTATCTTAAACAGAAAACTATCCTTTTTATTTTGTTTTATTTATTTATAAAATTTGTATGCCGTCCAATTACTAATGTCTCTGGACAGCTAGCAGCATAAATAAATTGATGGCCCACTCAGGCTGCAATTAATAAAATACAATAATACAAGTCAATATTAAAAATGATTAAAATATTGATTAAATAAAAAGGTCTTAACCTGGCACTGAAAAACATAGATTTTTCCTCAAAAAGCATTTTATTTTTAAAAATCCAATTTAAATTTTAAAAATCTGCTTTAAATGAAAATAGATTTTTTAATTTTAAACCATCATTGATTTTTATCCACCCTGGGCCACACCATACATTTGAATCAGGGTAACTGGATACTGGCATTTTTATTCTCAGTTCCTTTCCTAACTGCGCCAAACACGGAATTTGTCTTTTTCCCAGCAGCTTCGTCCTTCATGTTGAGTCAACACCCCCTTTCAGTCATCCATCCACAACCCCACAATCTCTTCCATGACCCCTTGGGAGGCAAAGCTTATGCAAAGACTCACTAACTGGGCTCAGACAACATAACTTCCCACAACTGAGACTGTGATATTGGATGGCATATAAAAACTTTAAATAAATAGATAAATAAACCAAGGATTAAGAAAACCCTGGGTATGGGTTGTCATTGAAAGCTGGATTTGTTGTTGTTGCCTAACTCCAGCTAGACGACAAGCCATGACTCCTTAATCCTGGTTTGTGGCTGGATTGCAAACTGTGGGTTATGTTATTTATTTATTTTAAAACTTTGATATACCGTCCCATCACTGACGTCTCGATGCACGCCCATAAACAAACCATTATTCTCCATGGTTTTGTTGTCTAACTCGGTTTCAGAGAACACGCTAGCCTGCCGTTCATCAACAGCCCACACTCAGCCCTAGGGTGTGTTGTCTGAACCCAGGCCGGGTGTCCCCTCTCCTCCGGGGGTCCTGCCACGGCTGCCTCCTTGAACCGAGGACTGCAGACAAGCTTGTACGTGTGTTGCTGTGTGGTCACCCTTCCTGGGATGACTCAAGGCAGAGACTTTTCTCGCCTGCTGTCCCGGCTTCATGCCAGCCGCTTCAGCTTCTGCCCGCGCGTGGATGTCGTTCTAGGAAGCGTTTCACACTGCCTCTCTCTCGTGTCGCGGCCCCCTGGTCCCGGGGGCGGTGGAGGATTCACGCAGGAGAGCAGAACCCATGGGAAGCTCATTATTTCAGAACTCCGCGTCCCTCCCTTGGCAGCCCATACTTCCGTGGTTGCTCCTCCGACGCTGATTTTCCGACCCCTCCGTGCTTCCGGCCAGGAGAAGAGGGCTTTGCCTAGCGCTTGCGGGAGAGGAGAGGAAAGAGAGGACCGAGCGAAGTGGAGAAGAGGGCGAAGAAGGCAGGGAGGAGCCGGGCTGGAGGACGGAATTGGGTTGAAAGGGGCCCCAGTAACCGCGGAAGTTCCTTGCCCCTCTAGCCCTGTGCAGGGAAGGCATTCGGGGCTTCGGGTGGGACTTCTGCCTGGAGATGCCAGGGAGCAAAGCCAGGCCTTGGCGGGCACAGCAGGGACTCCAGCCCTGCCCCATGGTCTCTGCCTCTTGCCGTCTTCACGGAGAGAGCAAGCCAGATGAGCAGGGCTGCCGCCTCTGTCCCAAGCTTTGGGGATGAAATAGGGCACTCTTTCAGGTGCCCTATTCTATTCTATTCTATTCTATTCTATTCTATTCTATTCTATTCTATTCTATAGGGCACCTATCCTATTCTGTTCAGAGCCAGCTTCCTTGCAGTGTGCACATGTTGAAAGCTGGAGTGGGCGAGGCCAGAGGGAGAAGTGGGGAGGGGGCCACCTCCTTTGCTCTTGCCCCCTGCCCTTTCCCTTCCCGTCCTCCTCCTCTCCTTCACTTGCACTCTGTGGGCTGCCAGGGAACTAGCTCCTGCTACTGTGCACTGATCCCGGGGCGGGGGGGAGGGTTTTAAATGAGGCTGGGGGCTGCATGAGGTTAGTCCAGGGGCCGCATGTGGACCCCCCCCCCCCGAATTGCCAGATCTCTGGCAACCAGGCAGCCAAAGCCCCCGGCTCACACTCGGAGCCGTGGCCAGCCAGGGGTGGAAATTGTGGACTAGCCTCATGGGCAGTCCCATGGTATGCTGCAGAATTGCCCCGTCGCTTTTCCTTGGCTTACCCGGCTTGGCTGCTGAGGAGCTCAGTCAGCACCATGCCTCTTGCTGAGGAACCAAAGCCGAGGTCATGTGCCTTGGATACAGGTCCCCCCCCCCCCGACCCCCCAAAGCCGTTGATTCACGTCTTGTGCCCTCAAGGAGTGGAGGTTTCAACCTATAAGTTGAAGGTTGTGAGCCGCCCCGAGGCTTCGGCGAATGGGGCGGCATAGAGGTCCCCTAAATAAATAAATAGGTCCCCTAAATAAAATAAATAAATATAAAGTCTTACACAGCTCAGGTGGAAGGCCCCCTCCCACACAGACCTTCCCGCATTCTAGGTCCGTTGACCTAAGCACAGGTGCCGCCTCTACAGGTGAGGCTTGCCCGGTGCCTGCGCTGCTCGTCCGTTTTGCTGCCAGGTTAAGTCCTACCTTGGCCGTATGCGAAGGGTTTTCCATCAGGTTGTGGGACGTTCTTGGGCTTTCGCCTGCCGGTGCCTGCTCACTCTCTGTGTTTGCGGCTAAACTGCTTTGGGAGGGTGCACAGTGCCATATTTTAAAAGCTCTTCGTCTCAGAAACGGCCCAGGCGGCTTTGGCCATTGGATGCGCTTGGAATGCGATCATCGCACTGAAATTTTCACATGTCTCGGCCACTGGCTCCACTCGGAATGCATCTGAGAGACAGTTTCTGCTCTGGAGGTTTCTCAGCCTCATAGGATCGCCATGCCAGCCTTTCCCCAGCCCAGGGAACCTACAGACTTGTCTGATTACAACTCCCATCATCCACAACCGGCCTGAAGACTGCGAAATGGGAGCTGTCATGTGTGGAGGGCACGTGGTTGTAGAAAGTCTGAGCGGTGTGGTGGGCCATGCCTGGAGTTGCTTCTTTCGGCCTCGATCCACGTAGCCCTTGGCATGTTCTTGGGCAGCCTCCCCCACCCCAGGTGGTGCCTTCCAGCGGTGTTGGACTACAGATCCCATCATCTTCTGACAAGGGCTGTGCCAGCTAGCCTAGGGACGTCTCTAGTCCAGCACAGCTGGGGGGTGCCATGTTAGGAAATGGCTGGCTTCCGGGCCGATGCACCGCCAGAATTGAACCCGGGGCCACCATAGGGCTCGTGAGAGGATCGCAACATGGGCTTTTCCTTGTGCTTCCCCAGGGAGAAAGGGCACAGGAGCGCTGGAGCCGTCGATACAATTAAGAACGGGCGCATCTGTAATGGATTGCTTGTCCCGATAAATCCATAATGACCTCATTCCAGCCTCCGCTTCCTGTCGTGCTCCCGTGCTTTTAAAACCAAGAGCTTTTCTGTGGCCAGTTCCCCATCTCATCTTCCCCTTTGCCCCCAGTTTACCCAGTGCCAGTTGCTGGGGGCTTGCAGCAAGGAGAGACCCCCCCAGCAGCAGGTTTCAGTCCATTTTTTTAGGAATTCGGCTGTCTGCGGCCAAAACAGACCTTACTCTAAGTCTCTTGTTTAGCAGCAGTGTTGGTTTTTAATCTTTTTACTCAGGAGTAGACACAGAACCCTGATCTGGATCGGGCACTCTGTCTGCTTTAGAACAAAAATGAGAAGGTGGATAACACAGGTGCTAATTATAGCCAGTGTGTGGTCCGATCCAGGCCCTGGGACCCAGTACCACCAGCAAAGGGGACAGAGAACTAGGTCATGACAAGCCCTGCCAGAGTTTACGGTGATGCTGCAGCCATGCTCATAATGGGCTCGATAAACCTGAACTGGGTACTTCCTGGTGTAGGAAAGCAGGTGTGATGTCTGTCTGAAGTGCTCATTTGGGCCCTGGGAGATCCGGGTTTTAGTCTCTGCTCAGCCCTGAACCTCACTGGGTGACTTTGGGCCAGTCGCTCCCTCTCAGCCCAGCCTACCTCACAGGGTTGCTGTGATGCAGACAAGATGGAGCTCTGGAAGAAGCTTTCTTTTTCCTCACCAGAGGAAAAAAGGAGGGGTATAAATGCAACGACAGCAGCAGCATATTTATTATAATTTTGTCCCTCATTTTTTCCCTTCAGGGAATCCAAGGCAGCTTCTGCAAGATCCTTTTCTTCTCTGCCTTTTATCTTCACAACAGTCCTGGGAGGTAGGTTAGGTTGAGAGGTGGCAGCCAGCCCGAAGTCACCCAGTGGCATCCCCGTCAATTCCACTGCAATAACTCCTCTCCCCTTGATGGCCATGTGAGGAGTTGAACCTGGATCTCTGAGTCCCGGTCCAATGCTCTAGGCACCATCCGTCCGTGACTCCTTCCCTTAATGGGGAGCACGCCGGAGAGTTCATTTCCACACTAATTAGCTCCCCTGCTGCATGTCTGGCACCGGCGCTAACGAGGCGAGTGACATTCAACAGAGTTGTGAAAGTGAATCACGGAACGCTGTGCCCTGCGTTTTCTGGAGGGGCCGCGTGTGGTCCTTCGGCTGCCGGTGTGTGTTTGTGTGGCGACGCTTCTGTGCGCGGCTTTTTCGCAAGACAGCTCGCGATGTCAGCTGGCCTGAGATGCGTTTGTGGAGCTGTGGACAGCTTCGACTAGAAATTACCGCCTCTTGCCAGTTCTGAGCAAGCTCCCCCGGCTCCCTCGGGAACAATTCGAAGTGCCGTTTCTGGCGTGTGTTGTACAGGCATACTCATATTTTAAAAACCCTTGAATGGCCTGAATCTGGGTTATCCTTCAAGGCCCTGGTAGCAAGACTCGGGGTCTTCTTGGTGGTGGCATCTCAGCTGCGACAATCGTTCTATTTGCTCATCCAGTGCTAGTTTTGATGCTCGTCAACTCAGTGGTGCTTTCCTGGACTTGGGAGGCATTCCAGGTGGGTGTTTATTTGGTTCCCAAGGTGTTTACTGCTCTCCTTTTGTTCCAGTGCACTTAATTGCTCCAAAGCTGCACTGTAAGTCATCTTGATTATTTGTATTTATTTTTGCTGCTCTGTGCCATCAAGACTTAGGGGGATCCATGAATGAGCGTCCTCCAGAGTGTCTTATCTGGGACAGACCTGCTCAGTTCTTGTACATTACAAGCTATGGGCTTCCCCACATTTGTTGCAATTAAAAATGTGTTAACTTACTTGGAGGTCCCAGAAGCGGGAAGGGACATTGCAACAGCTCAGTTTCCTCCTTTGGTATCTGCATCTCTTACCCAGGGAACAATTCTCACTTTGGCACTGGCAAGGGAAAGGAGATGCATTAGCTTCTGTAACACCATCCATACGCATGAGGTTCTGTAGAGCAGGAAGGGAGAGGTCCCTGCCCCAGAGAGCGTACAATCTAAATGTCAACACTGGGGGAAAAGAGGAAGGAGAGGGAATTGATGTCTGGAGTACACCTAGGAAGAATAGAGGTTTATTGCTTATGCTGGCTTAGCTGAAGAAGGGCAGGGATGGGCAACTTCAGACCCAGAGACCCAGACTGGCCCTCCAGGGATCCTCCTGGGGGGTTTCCTAGCCGGCCAAACTCCCCCATATTGGCTCCATCCCCTTCCCCCTGAGCTTCCATAGATTGGTGCTTTCTTGGCTTCTGTACAGCTTCTCCTGTTCCAAAAGGCAGAGAGCCTTCTCTCTCAGCTTGGCTCCTGGCAGGACCAGCTCTCAGCTAAAAGGTGCAGGGATTCTTGGCATTGCGACCCTGCCTACCTCAGAACGTGACCTCCAAGGACTTCTCGGAGAGGGGGCCAGTCTCCGCGCCGAAGAGGTTCCCCATCCCGGAAGTTCAGGGAATGTGAACACAGGGAATGCTCCCCAGATCTCCCTCTGTTCCCACACACAGCTGTGGTCCCAGCTGCCTCCCAAAAGCAGCCCCCTGCAGCCCCCCTGTAGCCCCCACCAGGCGCAGTGTCCTGCACTGGGAGGCCTCCTTGCACACTGCGCACGGGAACGGTTGCCAGGCGGGTTGCCGGGGAGGCTCACATCAGGGACCGCATCCCTATAGATTTTGCACCGGGCGTGGGTCTGCTGCTCCTCCTGCAAGCGAGACGAGGGCACCCAGAGGAAACCCCCCGAGGGCGCTTCGCGTCACCAGCCCGGGTTGCCTAGCACTGCCGGGACGGGAGAGGATGCAGCAGAGCCGGCGGAGTCTGCAAGCATTTCTCGCCTGCTCCGCTCGTTGGCCGGCCGGCCGGGAAGCTGCGCGTGCTGCAGGCCCTCACCGAGGAGGAGGAGGAGGAGGAGGAGGAGGACACGGGCAGCGGCTATGGCTTCGGAGGCCGCCGAGCTGGAGCTGCCGCTGGTGCAGGACGCGCAGCTGACCAAGTGCATGAAGCTGCGGGTGCAGAGCCTCCAGCAGAGGAACCAGAAGCCCCAGGACGGCGAGAAGTTGCTGCAAGCCAACGAGTTCGTCTACCGGGTGGACTTCTCCCACCAGCACAAGCTCCGCTTCCTGCGCTGGAACATCCGGCTGGAGAAGCCGGGCAAGGTGACCGTGACGGGCACCTCTCAGCTCTGGACGCCGGACCTCACCAACCTCATGCGGAGGCAGCTGCTGGAGCCGGCGGCGGTCTTTTGGAAGAAGGCCGGGGCCCAGGAGGTGGAATGCAACGAGGCCGACGCGCTGGAATTTGGGGAGAGGCTGGTGGAGCTAGCCAAAATCCGGAAGGTGATGTATTTTCTTCTAGCATACGCCGATGGGCTTGAGCCAGGCCACGTCACGTGCTCGGTGGTGTTCAAAGCCTGAATTTTGACCGGGCTCGGTCTCCTTTGCCATCCTGGCTTTTTCCTGCTTTCATTTCCTGCTCCTGGCTCTGCGCCTCGTGTGTCTTTGAAGGCAGACTAGACAGCAGGGCTGAAATGCAAGCTGAGTTCGGCCGCCCCGCTTTGCTCCCAGCAGGTGCCCCCGTGGCCGGCATCTACGAGCCATTCGGACCACTGAAAACGCTTCTGCAACTCTCGGACTAGGAAGGCTGCGCTGCTTTTTAAAATTGCATAGAAGCTTGGCTTGCAACTTTAGAAGTGCTTAAAAGTCACAGATGCGATCCTGTTTGAAGTTTTGGAATGGCCCTGTGAAATCCATAGAATACATAGGGAAGGGACCCTGTGATAATCCCGGAAGCCTACCCAGCAGGGCTGCCTGCGAAGAAAAGTAGGAGTTCCTAGAATTGGTGGCTCAGCGCACCAATTCTTTACACCAGGAGTCTTGGAATCTGTGTGCCACTGAGCAAGCTCCAAAGCATGAAGAATATCCTCTATTATGGATCAGGAGCCTGGATAGAACCCTGAAGATCTTAAGTTTCTTTTACCTTGTCAATGCAAGTCACTAGTCCTCATGTTTGTCAAGAGAAACCTGAAATATAAATAAAGCAAGGGATGAGTCTTGCAGGAGCTATTCACTGTTTCCTGTTGTCCCCATATCCACATGCACTCGAATCTTATTTTCTCCACTGCTACTCCCACCTGGAGCACTTTAACTACGGAAAGTGTTAGAAAGATGCCTCTTTCACCCCCTCCCCCTTCTTATTCCTGTCCTCTTATTTTTCAAACAAGGAACCAGTTGATCTTCCAGTGGATCTGTGTGCATAACTGGAGTTGAATTGAGTCTCCCAAGGTGAAGTCCACATGTATTTATTTTTATCAGAATAAATTATTTGACCTTGCCTGCCGGTCGTTCTGGGAAGGGAGACCCTTCCATGAAGTGAATCAAGGGCTGCGAATGTAAAGCTATTCATTTATTTTAATTTTTGCAAATCTCAGCCACTGACAAACATTTCATTAGCCTTGCTGAACCCAGGAGGAATGGAAGAAAGCCTCTGTATCTTATATTTTTGCATGTGTTTGATAATCCTGCTAGACTTTGGCAAGGGCACCTGAATTTCATTCCAGATGTGTTTGCTGGCTCGTGCGCCTGGGGGGGGGGGGCGCTCTCCCCACCCCTCGCAACCTTGCCGAGAGTTTTTCCTGCCTGCTGCACCGAGCCTGCACCGCTGGGCCAGTTTGTGAGCCTCGTCCAGTGATGAAATGGAAAACCGCACGCGCGCCTCCCTCGTTTTCCCCGGCCCTTAGGGAAGCAGAACCGAAGGCCTTGCGCAGTCGCTCGGGGCCCTAATGGCCGTTTGTTTTCCAAAAAGGTTCCTGTTTTTTCCTGTCTCCTTGCGAGTAACTCTCAGAGGCATGAGGCTGCCGCTGAGGAGACATGCCCTTCCAGGTCGCAGGTGTCCAGTGCTTGGGACCCCCGGGAGTTGCTTGTGCCTTCCTCCACAGAGGCAGAAAAGAGGGTGCAGATGTTGGCGAGGGAGCTGAGCTTGGATTCTGGAGAGACCACACTGGGGGGGGGGGGGCTTTGTGCTTATGGGGCCAGGCGCTTCCGAGGAGCGCTGGAGGTCAGGGCGGGGGGAGGGGGTTGCAGCGGATTGCCTGGGAGCAGTTGAGGGGCACTTCCTCCCAGCCACGGCTCGGCTGCGCCCCCAGCTGTGGTGGGCACCAGCCCTGCTGCTCCCAAGACCCACAGCTAGAGGTGGACTGGGGAGGGGGCTGCCACCCCTTCAGATCCCCCATTTCCCCCTCTCATCTTGCATTCAGAAACCGCTGGTGGAAAGACGCTGTTCCATCCCAGCTTTGCAAGCACGGAGGAACCTCCTCCGCTACCGCCTGGCAACGTTCCCCCATTTTTTAAGCTGATGACGGTCCTGAAATTCCGGGGCCACCATCCACGCCTGCAGGTAGGCGAGGAGGGCTGGCCTTCCCTCCGTGGCTGCTCAGCAGCCAAGGCCAGGGACCCATCCCAGGTCCCGTGTCTTTGCAGGAGCGGCAAAGGTCTTGCATGTGGTGCAGCCGTGCCACGGGGCTCCCAGGCTGCCTCTCCTGCCATTCCATTGCCAATCTGGCCGGCTTCTGTGTGCAAAACGGGGTGGGGATGCCAGCTTGCCCTTCGCCTCCGGCAGCGAAATGCCCTGCCTTGCATGACCAGACCCCACGGCCTATTTTCCTTTGCGACACGATTCCGGGCTCAGCGTGAAGTACAAGAGATCATGGCCCTCCCCTGCTAGCTGGTGACCCTTTTCCTGCCCCACCTTCCCTTCAATGAACAGGTCATCGAGAAAGAGGCTTGTATGCCTGCGCACACCCAGAAGCCTCTGAATGAAAGTTGCATTCACAGCCTGGTGGTTCGCAGTAGACCAGGTAATGGCCAGAGGGACAGCGTTTAAAACTGACCTCACTTGTTCCAAAAGGGGCAGAAGCTGGCCAGCTGCAAGCTCCACGTTGTTGACTCGTCCGTGGCGGTGCAAGATGCGGTGCTTCCAGCAACAACGTGGGGCTTATTTGCTCACTGATAGTTTGGGATGCGGCTTTCCAGACAATGAGCTTGTGCAACCACGGCGTTCTCCAGCCAACTAGCAAGCACATTTCCAGGCTATTGCCAGGCTTCCTGATTGCCCCGTAAACAGGCTCAGTGAGAACAGAAGAGTGTTGCTGGGTCAGGCAAGCGTCCATGGGGTCCAGCTGGCTGTTCCTGCAGGGGGCAGCCACATGCCCCAAAGGGAAGCTCACAAGTAGGGATGGAATGAACAGCACCCCAAGCATTCAGCTCTCATACTGGGGATGAGAAGAAGGAATCCCAAGCCAGGCTGGTCCGTGCGGTAACTCCACAGTGGTCACCAGGGGGGTGGCTGCCCTCGTCCTTCCCCAGCCCCGGTGACCTCAGCCGCCGCCAGCCCTCCCTGTCTGCAGCCCGCATCCTGTGCCTTCCTTTTCTCCATCCCTTTGTATCTGCATCAGTCGGTTCCCCAGCGTCAACGTCCTTTTGAAGCAACTCTCCATCTGGTACAAGAAGGGTTTTCATCTTTTCTGCTCAGGTGGGCAACAGCAGCCGTGCCAAGCACCCACCGGGCTTGAAACATGCCTGCCTGATTCAGATGGCACAACACCTTCCCGCTGCCCAGTCCATAGTAACAGCTACTCTTCGGTGTGCTGAATCTCTCTTCCCCCTCTGGTGTGTGGGCTTTACCTTCATCTGTAATGGAAAATAAAATTGAATATGGCAACGCAAAGCTTCCGACAAATTCGTCATCTTCTCTGCAAAAAAATCATAATAAACGTCACAGAAAACATTCCTGGAATGTTATTTTTTCCCCCAGCCTGTGATCCTTTTATTTTAACAGTGGGGTCTTTGTTTGATGCCTTTGTACTGCTAAAAAGAATATTATTCCCCACCTTTGTTTAAATCCATCACCCCAAACACCCCCATTTAAAAACAACCGTCGTCGTGGCAATTCTTCTGTGTTCGTGCTAACTGGGGATGGTGGGAGTTGGAGTCTTACACAGCTAGAGGGAAGGCTGGTATAGACAAGATTGCCCCCCCCCCCCATTCCTAAACAAGCTCCTTCCCCAGAAGAGCCGAGAACAAAGAAGCCCCTTCAAGTGGCCCTCCCAAAATAGAGTTCGGCCGCTGTGGTGCATTGCCAAGGAAGGCTGGGGCATCTCTTCCGGACCAGGTGCTGCGCTGGCCGGATGCGGCAATGCAAAGCACGTGAAGGGGGCGTGGCCTCACCTCCAGCCTGGCATGGTACCTTCCACTCTGCCGGGTTAATTCCTCCGCATGGGTAGACCGGGCCTCTGAGTGATCCAGCTGGATCCTGGAAAGCCCCCCGCCTGGTTAATAGCCCCACGGCTTGGGCAAAGAGGATGCTGCCAGGGGGTACCTGGAGGGCCCCTGCCCACGCACATCTCAGGACCTCAGCAGGATTGGACCAAAGATGCACCTCTCCCTGGTCTGTGCTTGGCCGATGCAAAGGCCAGCCCCGGCCACCAGCTGTAGATTCAGGGTCCAGACCCCGCCCCCCCCGGCCTGCAAATGTACTCTGGGTCACCAGGCTCCCTTGTTTGGCCTGCAGGGTCTCCTCGGGTCCTTAAGGGGCAGGGCTTGCCTTGAAGCCCCTCCCTCAGAGGAATCCCGGTTGTTCTCTCCGGTCTTAGACCAGAGAGGACGGCAGGGATGTTGGGCGGCTGAACCGATGCCTGGAAAAATGGCCGTTCTTCCTGGCAGCAGACAAGTTGTTTTGCACGGGACACGCTGCTGGGGTGGCCACGAGCTCGGCCAGCATCTGGATGGGCCGCTGCCCCACCCGGCTCTGCCCGAGCCGCTCAGAGTGGCACGTGTTGCCCTGTGTGGCTGGCCTGTGCCAGCAAGAGTGGCTTGTTCTCCCCGACTCTCCAAGCCCGGGCTTCGTCCCCCCCAGGTGTGTTGGAAGAGGCTAAGATGGGCAGGGGGTGGAGCACGGACCCCGTGGCGCCCTCTGCCTGCTGGGAAGGGCCAGCCCTGCCTTCGCAGCATATTGCTCTGCTCCCCTTCCACGGACTCTGGTCTCCCAAGTGCCGGCAAACATTAGGTTGTACTGGGCAGGCAATCGGTGGGAAGGGGCAGGGAGGTGTTCGGTTTGGTGGACCCCTCATTGGACGGGCCAGATGCACCCTCAGTCACTGCCTCCCAAGAGTGGCTGGGTCCCCAGATTTCCTCTCGGGAAGCTGGCTGGATTACCCCTCCCCCAGCGATTGTCTTCCAGCGTCTGCTATTCAAGGTACCCTGTTCCAAAAAGGAAAGGTCCCTTTAGCTCCTGGAGCTCGTGCCTTTGAGGGCACGGCCCTAAGCACTCTTGACTGGGAAAAACTATCCTTAAAAAGCCACGAGAGGGATTTCTCTGCAAACACAGGTAGAATCAGGTTGCAGGAGGGGAGAGAGACAGAGGTGGGACTCACATGACATTCTGTGCTGGAAACTGCCCTGGGTGGGCAGGGCTTGTCATTATGTGTGAATTCAGTTCTGAGGCTTTGGTGTGGTACCTTTGGAGAATCAACAGTCATTGCATGTGGCTCCACTTACAATGCTTTTACACAGTTTCTGTGTTTCTGCCATCGAGTCTGGTGGCAAGAGCAACCTGTTTGCAGCAGACACTCTAGCCTCCAGTTTCTATGGGCCTGTTCCGCCTAGCAACCGCTGAGACAGCTACAACCACTCTCTGATTGGCTGCTTTGTGCTCCCTGTCTTCTGGACTGGTGCATGGCTTTCCAGTGCCCATTTGTAGCTCTGGCATATCGGAAGCAGAGACCGTGGGGGAATCGGAGTCTTCGCATGGGTTTACGTGATCCCAGCCACACGAACAAATCAAGGCTTGTGCACCACAAACAACCCATGCAGAGAAGCCATGGTTTGTTGCATTGTGAACTGTGGGTTGTTTGTGGTTGAACAAACCATGGATTATTGGTATGTCTGAGATTCAGACAACACAACAATGTATGTTTCAAGCAAGACCCACGCCTACACTGAACCAGCCATTGAGGTGGGATTTCATGTTTTCTGAATCCAGCCAGAGTTTGAAATAGTCTTGTTTTTCTTTGATTGATTTGAATTCACCCAGTTCCTCTGCTGTTTAATCCAGCTCATGTATTTCTGCATTTAAATGCAAAACCATGATTCTCTCTCTGCCTGCCCCATCCAACCCCATTACTTTAGGTTTTGTGAAGTGAGAAGAGCAACTCTTAATAATTCCATTTCGACATTGTGGGGGTGAAGTAAAGAGTGTTGCTTTTTTTCTGCTTTCTACTCTTCTGCCTCCCTTTATGGCTTTTAAAGGCCAGGAGCAGCATAAATATTCAAAGCCTTCTCGTCTGCTATGCCAGTCTGTAGCGCTGAGTGGTTATACTTCATCTGCATTTATGATCTGTCGGTCGCTAATGGACTTTTGAGGACAGTGTTTGAGATGAGTTTGCCCTCTTGCTTCAACCCCCAAGAGCGATTACCAGTCCTGGGCTGGCTTTTATCTGCTGGGGCAGCCTTCCCCACCCCCAAAGGTATCTGTAGTCCGGGTGGAAAAGGCTGGCCCTGTGCCCTTTTTTTTATAAAGAACAGTCCTCTGTTTGAGGGTAGGGCCAGTGTTAAAGCTAGGGATGCTGGGGACTTGCTGAAGTCGCGCAGCTTGCTGGGGTACCACGTCAGATGCCCGGGGGCCTTGAATGGCCGATTCTGCAGCTAGACCCTCTCTGCTTGCAAGGAGAGTCCTGCTTGGCCAGCCCAGTGTCCATCTGGTCCAGCCACTCATGGCAGGCAGCAGAGGAGGGCAACAAGGACGTTCCAGGGACGGGAAAAAAGATGGGAGATGGAAAGAGCCGGGCAAGTTGAGAAGCGAAGGCTGAGGGGGGACACGAAAGCGCTTAGTAGTACTTGAGAAGCTGTCACAGAGAGAAAGGACGGCATCTCCTCTCGATCGTTCCAGAGTGTAGGACGTGGAATAACTGGCTCAAGTTACACGAAGCCAGATTCCAGGTGGACACCAGGAAGACCTTCCTGGCTGTCAGAGCAGTACGGCAGTGGAACCCAAGACCTGGGGAGGTGGCGGGCTCTCCCACTGTGGAGGCAACCAAGATGGCTTAACGTGGAGCCCTGCACTGCGCAGGGGTTGGACCCAATGGCCCTCTGGCCCCTTCTAATTCTGCTCTTCCAGGATTCCACGAAACCGTGGCCCTCATCTGCTGGTGGGACCCCCGGGTGGCTGGGGAGAGAGCACAGCTCCCTCGTGCTCTCCGGAGGTTGGACACTGCTCTGCAGCAGGCTGGAGGCTGGCCCTGCAGCGCTGGGCTCTGCGGTGGTGAAGTGGCCCAAGAGAAGACTCGGGCCTCCCCTTGTCAAGCTGGTGCTCGCATCTCTTGCTCTGACCGGGAGCAGCTGGCCAGGATTTCAGACAGAGAAAGGCCTTTCCCTTTGCCTGCTTTGTTACCCTTTTAAACTAGAAACCAGAACTATTTAAACTCTCCAACTAGGAGCAGAAACGAAACCAATAGTGAGAATATGGCAGAGTATTGGCCAAATGAGGCTAAGATCCTACCAGGACCAGGGGGGCTTCAACTTACTGTGGAGCATCATCTGGGTGGGGGTCTCTTGCGTTCCCAGGGGCCGAGTCTCCAACGGTGGTGGGGATGTATGTCCAGCCGTTCAAGAGACCAGGTGAACACACTTTTGTAGAAGCCGGTGTGTCAGCTCAACCAGCAGGTGATCACCTGGACATCAACTGCCAGAAGCCCCCACCCGAGTACCTTCATGCCCAGGAATGCTGGGATTTGAAGTTCAAAACACTCAGAGATCTCCTTTCTCCTCCTCTTGCTTTACGTAACTCACTTTTCTCTTTCATCACTTATGGCTTTGTAGCGCTTGAACTGAGCCCAGGAATGGATCACAACCTAGCAGACCTGTCCAAAGAGAGGACCCAGACACGCCCAAGAAACAGCTCCTAATATGATGGCCTTTATTTCTGATGCTGTGGCACCACAATGCATGCAGGGCCGAAGCACGTCCAAGCGACCATGTGCGAGGGAGAGGTGTCAGGAGGCTGCATGTACAGAAAACGAGCCTGGATTTTGGCTCCGAAAGTGCAGTTGGGGCTGAAGATGCTAGTAGTCCTGGTGGGGGCGGAGGGTGATGGAGTGGAGTTTCTTGCACAGGAGTTCTCCGCACTGGAACATTTGTGGCACGTCCCTCCTGGACGAGGTCTGCAAGAAACATGCCAACTTCTCCCAAAGAGCCTCCAAAGGGTGCTTTTTGCTGCGATCTGCCGACAGCTGTCATGGGGATGAGAGAAAATAGAGGTGATGAGTTAGGAGCCTTGAAGTGCTGCTTTGACTATAATTCAAAGGGGTGACAGAGTCCAGCAGGATCTCAGGAGAGGGCATGATGATCAGACACTGGCGAAATTAAGACAGATTCCTGCAAGATCAGACTTGCAGAGAGGGGAGAAAGCAGCCTTTGTAAGTGCTCAGTTGCAGTATCCCCTAAACAACTTCCTTCTGTGGCTTGGTCTTTTTGTTTTTTTCAACAGCTTTGGCTTCTGTGCTTTTACACAGCTGTCAGGCACAAAGAAAGTAGCAGCTGAAGCTTTTCCCACTTCTTTTCCATGATAGAAAGCATGGTCAGCTACATTTCTGCATGCCAGGCTGCTGTTAAAGGCGCTCACAGAGCAGGACCAGTTTCTTTGTCTGTCATTTAAAGGTAGCACTTTTAATATGCAGGGCAATTGTCTGCAGGTTTGTTCAGACATAAGTCCCTCTGTCTTCCAGAGGATTTACTCTCCAGTAGGGCACATGTACTCCTAGTAAATAGGTTTATTGATGAATAAGAATGCAGTGTGATTTCTTTTGACACATTTTATTTATTTATTTATTTATTTCAAGTATTTATATGCTGTCCTGTCGCGAAAGCCTCAGGACAGCTCACATAGATTAAATACAATAAAATATAACGTAGATAAAAGTATCGACCCACACTGACCCACGTTTTACTTCAAAGTAAGCGTTCCTTAGCTTGACGTGCTAAACGGCACCTAAAGTTTGCTTGCCAGTTTATGGCACTGAGCTTTTAGGAACTCTTCTTCTGATCTGTTCCTCACCTGCAGCCTTGAAGTAGTTTTGAGAGGGAGAATTTGGTAGAGGAAGAAAGACTAAGAACTCTTGCAATGCAAACATGTGATTTATACCGAACAGCATTAATGGGAACTTAATAAGGCAAGGACCATATATGACCTCTTATTTAGATTAATATTACAGTCAGTCCTGTATAATAGTTTTCAGACCCGTTTCCTTAAAGGGAGGCAGAAATATTGAGTGAGAGCACAACTTTGAGCAGTGGGAGGAAATAGATTCCCTCTGGGAATGTGTTTCCTTCTTAGGATTCCTCCTCAGCAGTTCTGGGTATCCTGAATGGTTGTGGGGAGAAGTATATATAACATCTGGAATGTAGGTGCGGGATTACACGGAAAACAGCTGTGTATCTTTAACTCTGTGCTTCCATACCTACAGAATGGGAGCTCTGAACAGGTTTACTAGGTAACTTGGGGGGTGGGGGTGGGTATTGGGGAACCCTAAAGTTTGCAGAGGTACAGCAGTTTTCTAAATTGAAAAACCCCACAAAAATTGAGCAACCCTGGACAGAGGATACTTGGCATAGGGAGGACTGAACGTGCTTTGGGTTCCCCTGATATTGCAGAAAGCTTCATGTGGAAAAGAAAAATGGAAAACAGAAAGCGGGGAGCATGAATTGCACGTTTTGGTGCTTAATTTAGGGATGCAGCATTCAGGACCAGAGCCCAAGTCTGGCCCTTCTGGGGTCCCAGCCTGCCCCCCTCGGTTTCTCGTGGAATCCCACCCCCTTTCTTCTAACCACCAAATTTTGGTGGTTTCCTGATTTCTGTGGCAGTTCCCCCCACCCCATTCCAAAAAGGGGATTAGTGACCAGCAGGCACAATATTCTGAATGGGAATGATGTGAATTGCAATCCAACATGTCTGAAATTATGAGGTAGGAAAGGTCAGGTTTTAATATCCCAGTGGAAGGCCTTGTTGGGTGGCTGGAACGCTGAACGGAAATGTCATTCAGTCAGAAGGCCCGCTTGGTGCAGACTCTGCCGGGCAGGATACAACAGGGCAGTCTAGCAGTTAGAGCGTTGGACTGAGTTCTGAGTTCTAGGCTCCACTTGAGCCATGGAGTTCATTGGATGACCTTGGGCCAGTCACTGACTCTCAGCCTAACCTACCTCGCAGGGTTGTTGTGCTTATAACACAGAGAGGAAGAGGAGAAAGAAATATGTAAGCTGCTTTGGGTTCCCTGTAGGAAAAAAGGGTGGGGTATAAATATAACGCAGTTGAATGAACTAGATCAGATGTCCATCCAAGTTCTGCAGAACCCACCACCTGCCAGGTGACCCATCCCATGGCTGAGCAGCCCCTGTTTTTAGGAAATTTTTCCTGATGAGTAGAAGGAATCCCTTCTCTAAAGTTTCCATCTTTTGGTTCTAGCTCTGCAAGGCCATTCCACCTTCTGCACGACAGCCTTTCTAGATAATTTGTTTTTATTCTTGGTCTTAGCCTGGTGCCGTCATTATTTGTTTTTTGGCGCCAGACTAAGACCTTTTTATTTAAACAATATTTTAACAACTTTTAATATTATCTATAGGTTTTGATTTGCAGCCAGGATGAATTGGGATTTTTAATTTGTATTATATGTATTATGTATTATGTTTGTTTATTTTATGTAAGCCGTCCCGAGGCTTTAAGCGATGGGACGGCATACAAACATTCTAAATAAAATTAATTAATTAATTAATAATATTTGAAGATGGTCTTGTCTCCTCTTACTCTTCTCCAGGCTCCTGATTACTTTGTCAATGTTCACCTTAGAGCTGGGTCCCCAAGATCAGATATGGCACCCCAGTACAACATGGTTGGACTATTATTAAATACAGCTGCTTCAAACATCGTATCTCATGTTAAATACCCTCTGTGCACAGTAGTCCTAAAAGCCAAGTTTTTTTCGTTGCTGAGATCTGAGACCCCTGGAGACGTGGCCACTGCTTCCTGTTTGTGTCCACCACCTGCCCCTGCACCTTTTCCCCGTCTAGTAAAGAAGAGAGTCCTGTTGATGCCCAATTTGCTATCGTCCGGCTCCTGCACAGCAGCTCCCAAAGAGGCCGGCATGCAAGCACAGGTGTCCCTTTGCATCTCACACGCCTCTTCCTTTCCCGACGCTGCAGGTCATCCCCGACTGGAAAGAGCAGGAGTGGTCTGCCGAGAAACCGGACAGCTACGCCGGGATTTTCCACTTCCAGTTCTGGCGCTTCGGCGACTGGGTGGACGTGGTGATAGACGACCGCCTGCCGACGCTGCACAACCAGCTCATCTATTGCCACTCCAACGCCAAGAACGAGCTGTGGTGTGCCCTGGTGGAAAAAGCTTATGCCAAGTGCGTACACGCCTCCCGTGTCAGCATCCATGGGAGATCCGTTCCCCTCCCCAGAAGGCCCACTTCCGGGCTCCTGGGAGGCCATGGCTCAAGCCTCTGCTATGCAGAAGGCCTGGATTTGCCCTCTGGATTTGGGCCCCACCAAAAATGCTCCTGCCTGAGGGAGTGGCTTCCTGCCCATGTAAAGAATGCTGGTTAGATGGACTAGAGCATTGACTTGGTATTTGGACGCGTCTTTATCTTGGAAGGACTGTGAAAGCCGCTGAAAGGTGGCTGCAAAGATAACGGGACTGTCACCAGATGAAAGGCATCTTAGGCTGCAGTCCCGTGCATGTTTAGGCAGAGAAAAATTTGGGGGGATCCTGCGACTCCCAGCATTCCTCAGCCGTGCTGCTGGAGCACAGAGCCCGTTTCTGTCTCAACTGGCGTAGCAGTGCGCTCCGAGTGGGCGCATCTTGTGCTGTTAGACTTGGGCTCTGGCTGCGGAGTTTGAGTGTCGTGGCGAGTTGTGAAGTGTCATGATGGGTGCCCTGTAACCATTGTATCCTGGAGGAGACTGGCTGGCACACTCGGCGGTTACATTAAATGCACTTGTGCCTGTCGGTTAAGGGCAATTATTGTGTATTTATTTGTTTGTTTGTTTGGAGTTTTTATATGCCGTCCCATTGCTTAACGCCTCGGGACGGCTTACATAAATAGACAACATAGTGCCCAATACACATACAAAAAATATAAATTACACAAATTAAAAACCCCGATTCATTCTGGCTGGAAATTAAAACCTATAAATAATATTAAACCTTGTTAAAATATTGTTTGAACAAAAAGGTCTTAGCCTGGCACCGAAAAGCAAATAACGACAGCACCAGGCGGACCTCTCTGGGGAGCGCATTCCACAGATGGGGTGCCACCGCAGAGAAGGCCCTCCTCTGGCATATAATAGTTTGTATTAGGCACAATCAGACAACCATGTCCAAAATTGAATCAAAGCATTGAAAAGTAGCATCCTCACAGGGTTCTGTTGTGGGGATAAGATGGAGGAGGAGGATGATGTAAGCTGCCTTGAGCCCTTTGTAGAAAAAAGGCAGGATATAAATCGGAAATAAATTAAAATTAAAAATTAAATTAAATCCCCCAGAATGCTCCACTCCATTCTGCCTCAGTTTCCCCTCCCAATAGACACACTGTATTCTGCGGCCACCAAGCATGGTGGGGCCTTGGTGCTGTGTTTGCGGAATATTCTGCCCCTTTCAAGCTGTCCCCTCGAAAGATTCGTCCTACTGTTGAAGCCCTGTGGTGCTCTCTCCCAACTCTCACGCCTGCTGACCTTGTTCCTCAGTGGCCCACTCCTGACGCCAGTCCTGGTGGCGCTCAGCACCAGGTGGGGATGACATTTGCAATACCACAAGGGTGGCGGCGGCAGGACTGGCTTGCGCCCGGCTGTCTTTTCTTCTGCGGAGATGACACAAGCCGCTCTGCCGCAGAGCATGGCATCCCCTCTAGCAAGACTTCTCTTTCTCAGGCTGGCAGGATGCTACGAAGCCCTCGACGGGGGCAACACAGCGGATGCCCTGGTGGATTTCACTGGCGGGGTCTCGGAGCCCATCGACCTGATAGAGGGAGGCTACGTGGATGACGAAGCCAAGAGGAACCTCCTCTTTGAGCGGGTGCTCAAGGTCCATAACCGGGGAGGCCTCATCAGCTGCTCCATCAAAGTGAGACCCTTCGTGGTAGAACTGGGGAGCGGGGTGCATTTTGCAGGTTTGGGTGCTGCAGGTCCACGGACGATTCCAGAGCGTGAAATTCGCTCAATGGTGGGACAGACCTCTTCTGCTCACCTCGCCCTCTGGCTGGTCAAACTTGGTGGGTTCCCCTACTGTGAGGCGGTGAGCCCTTTTAAGCTCAAGAACTGGATTGCCTCTGCAGAACCTCTGGGAGGTGTGCCAGCAGCAGTGAAAACCAGAGGCCGTTGGCTGTGTCTTTCACATGTGTGCACACAAAGCCAGAGGTAGGAATAGAAACATGGAGAGTCGGAAGGGGGCTCCCGGGCCATCTAGTCTGACCCCCGGCTCCAGCCGGCACCACTCTTGCAATCCCCACCATGTGCACGTCCAGCCTGTCCTTGAACACTCTCACCGATGGGGCCTCAAGCACCGCCCATGGAAGCCCATTCCATGCCCTCGGCGTCCTCGCCATCAGGAAGTACTTCCTGACATCCCACCTGAAGCCTGGTTCCTTGAGCTTTGCCCCCTCGGAACATGTCCTGCCCTCCACTGCAGGGAAGAGCAGGTCACAGCCCTCCTCCACAGGGCATCCCCGCACATCCCTGTAAGTTGCTCAAAGATCCCCTCTGAGTCTCCTCCAGGCTGACAAGTCCCAGCTCCCTCAGTCTCCTCTCGTATGACATCCCTTCCAACCCGGCTGCCGTTCTTGTAACCCTGCACTGAACCGATTCTAACCTAGCTGTGTCTCTCCTATGATGTGGAGCCCGAAACTGGACACGGGACTCCAGTTGTGGGCGCACCGGAGTTGTGTAGAGCGGTATCAACACCTGCCTAGATCTGGGAGCCGCGCTTCGGGCTATACAGCCAAGGGTGGCGTTCGCCCTCTTGGCCACCGCATCACACGGCTGGCTCATGCTCGGCCTGCAGTCGACCAGCACCCCGAGGTCCCTTTCACAAGGGCTGCTCTCCTGCCACTTGCCCCCCAAGTGAGACGCACCAGGCCTCCCCGGAGTCCGGTCCGTGTCGGCCTGTTGGACTTCCACCCCTCGCTGAGGAAGCGAGCCGAGCACAGAGGACGTCCGCGAGCGTTTGCAGAGACCGCTGGGATGCCTGTTTGTGCTGCAGCGATCATGCGCGGTACATGCGAGCACAAGGGGCCAGAGGCGCATGCGCAGTCCCCTCCGCCACCACGACGGCGCCCACCCTGATTCTGCGTATGGATGGACCGGGATTGGCAGAAGCGCTCTGAGTTTGTGCCGAATGTCTCTTGCTGGGCTGAAGACGGGAGTGTTTTCCAGAAGCACACCAACGGGGGTGGCGTGGTACTGGTGAGCGAGTGTGCAAACAGACACACGGCCTGTCCACACGCTTCAAGTACGGTCCACCCACATGCTGAATCGGCGCGGCACGCTTCCACATCCCGTGCAGCTCACACAGAGTTACGCGCGTTGAAGAGAACTCCGTGCAGCGGGTGTGCGAGAACCTTCTGCACAAGGGGGCTTAATTCCTGGCAGGCGTCCTGCAAATGCTGCAGTGCCCTTTATCCTCCGAAGCATACCCAGTAAACACAATCACAGGACGAGTCTCTGAGCATGTGCAGAGTGGTTTTGTCGCCTGGGCCAAAATTATGCCAAAGTTTCTAGTCCCGTCGGATTCCTCCTCTTCGACACTGAGGGTTTGTTTCTTGCCCTGGCCAGGCCACTTCAGCTGCCGACATGGAAGCCCGCCTGGACTGCGGGCTGGTCAAGGGACACGCCTACGCAGTCACCGATGTGCGGAAAGTCCGTCTGGGCCACGGCCTGCTGGCCTTCTTCAAGTCGGAGAAACTGGACATGATCCGCTTGAGGAACCCCTGGGGGGAAAGAGAATGGAACGGCCCGTGGAGCGACACGTGAGTAAGCTCCCGAGGAGTGTCTGTGGAAGTGGAGACCGGGGCAAGACGTGTCCGGGTGGCCTGCTTCCTTCAGCTAGTTCTCACCAGCATTGTATGCAGTGCAGGCTGGAGATACCATGTCGGTGGGGCGGTGTATTCACTCCAGGCGTTAGCCTGAGCTTTCCATGGTTCTGAGTCTCATTTGTAAAAGGGTTCAGCACCATGGATGGCCCCTTTCAAGGTCTGATGGCGGCCCGGAGTGGATACACCGGCCTGTGGATTTTGTTAAATCTGCTCTGCATTTTGCAGGGTGTCGGGGCCTTCACTGCATCATCTGCTCACTGATGGAATCCGCGATTTTAAAAAGCAGGATTTCATCGTGTTTGTGCCAATGTGCATTAGTGCTCATGTGGCTTGCACCAACCTGCTCTTGTGCAGGTGTGTGGATCGGCATTTGTGTCCTGGAGACCTGAAGGAGTGCCTGCTTCCCTATGAGCCTGCCCACCCCCAGAGGTGTGGGGCAGGGGTCCTTCTCCGGGAGCCCCCCTTGAAGGAGATTAGGAGGGCAGCTACCTGGAGAGGGGCCTTTTCGGTGGTGGCACCCTGACTGCGGAACACACTCCCCAGGGAGGTTCTTTTCCCAATACTTTAACAACTAATAGGTTTTATCTTTGATTTCATCATTATTTATCGGATGCAGTGTGTGGTGTGTTGTTTGTTGTATATGGTTGTTTTGTTTTTTGGTTTTTGTAAGCCATCCAGAGACTTTAGTATTGGACGGCAAAAAAACTTTAAAATAGATCTAAATAAATAAATAAATTTGTACTCACCCACCTTAGCTAATGTGAATTAGGGCATTTACACAACTGTATGTTAACACTGGTGTGAGTTTTAGAGCAGTACTGTTTTTGGTTTTTTTGACTGTTGGATTTTATTATTGTTCTACTTGTTCATTTTAATATTATCTATTTTGCTGTATAATCCTGTAACCTGCCCAGGGAGCCTTCCAGGCTAATGGGGCAGACTATAAATCCAAAAAATAAATAGCGTTGGTCCTCCCCAAATTCCAAAACCCACCTGCAATTCCGTGGAATCCATGCAACATGGAGAAAGGCAGTCCACTGCAGGATTCCCCTTGTTTCCTTGGCGATTCTCTTGGGCATCCCTTGAACTTGTTGAGGCGGCCCACCTGTACCTGTTCAGACTGCAGGGGGTGGAGCTCCCATGATGCATTTCCAAAACAAGAGCAAAATCCCGATATATCAAAAACCGGCATGTCATAGGGATGCATCCTGGTCCAACCCTTCCCTTCCCTTCTAATTTTTAGTGTTGATCTGAGTGTGTGCCTTCTCTCACAGACCACCTGGAAGTATAGCCTAGACTGCAATTTGAAGCCTTGTGCAGAGTTCAGGAACGGCCCCGAAGCATGCACTTAATAATCTCTTTAATACGTTCTCCCCGTTTTCGCCACCACTGAAGCGTCCTTTGCTTCGTCCCTGCAGTTCGGAAGAATGGCAGAAGGTCAGCAACAGCGAGAGAGAGAAACTGGGGATGACGGTGGATGATGACGGGGAATTTTGGTGAGTGTGGGGTGCGGAGTGTAGGAGCAGAACCCCCTCAGCAAGATGCAGGCGACCCGTGTGCCAAATGCTGCTTCAGAGATGCTCTGCAAAGATGCCTTTCACGGGGAGGCGGAGCCAAAGATGAAGGAAATGGGTCCGAAACATCCCCTGTTTTCGCACAAAGTTCTTCCTGCCACTGTCTGCGCCTTAGGCGTGTCTTGGATCTCCCAGCACACAAGTGCCAACTAACAGACTGACCCAGGCCAGGAGATCCTTGGAGTAGAGGAGGGCAAAAGGTCTTTCTCGACTTTCACCCCGCCAGGAATAACTTTCTACACCTCTGTCTTGCCTCTTCTCATCCTCTTCCTAAGTTGAATTACCTGCTGTGCAGAACAAGGAAAGCTAAAAATATTTTCAAGTGGGGACTAAGCAGCACCAGGCCTGGAAACTACCAAAAGATTGGTGGCCAGGGGAAAGGTGGGCCGGATTTGTGTGACCGCTGCTTCTCAGTGGGAGGTGCGAGAAGAGAAAATTGGGTGTGAGCGGCTGGAAGGCTGGCCTGCCCCCCACTCCTCTTCTGTATGCATGGCAGAGCACTGCTGTGTGTTGGGAGCTGGGTTTCCCCCTTCACACATTCAGAGGGCGCCCTCTTTGGCAACAGCTCGTGATTCTCCAGTGCACAATCAGTAAACCATAACGGGCAAAGAAAGAGTCTCTGAGCATGCACAGAGCGGTTCATTGATCCCAAAGTAGTAACTGCTTCTGCAAACCCTCCCTTTGAGGACGCTTCAGCTTCACCCTTCTGGGATGGCCCTTCTGGAGGTGGGCAAGCGCCTTTGCAGCCTGTCGCCCTGAGCTGGCCGGTCCTTGGCTCCCGACGGGCTCCATCATGGGGCGAAGGGTTGTGCCAGGCTCGCCTGGCTCCTGGGACTCCTCTCCTGCGCTATTCCCAGGTCCACCTGAACACCTGGAAAGGGTGGCCTTGAGATTCACCCTCCCCACGCTTCTGTCTTGTTTTCCGGGGTGCCATTTCCCGGGCTTATCCTCCTTGTCTCGCTACACACCAAGAACAGCTGCCTCTTCCATGCACAACACCAGATCTGTCCGAAGAGTCGTGGAATCGGCCTTAATTGTCAAGATACGGAGTGGGAATTAGAGGCTGAAGGAAGGCAGGGGTGTCTCTTGATGCAGATGGGCAGAGGTTGAGTATCTCTCTGCAGATATGCTCTCTGCCTATCCCGGGATTTTTAATGCAGAGACCACAGTCGCCCGTACATTTAAAATCATTTCCACTTAGACTCTGGTCCACGGAAGGGCTTTCCTTTCCACTGGGCTGGTGGGAAACTCTAGGATCTAGCAGGCCAGCCGCAGCCGCTTAAGATGGCCGTGCATTTGACTGTGGCAACCGAAGACGGGCACACACGGCCCGTGGGAACCGGGCCGGGCACAAGCTGAGCTCCGGTCTTCCCACCCTAGGATGGCCTTTGACGACTTCTGCAAGTACTTCACCGACATCATCAAGTGCCGTCTCATAAACACGTCGTACCTGAGCATCCATAAGACCTGGGAGGAGGCGGTCTTGCGGGGGGCGTGGACAAGGCACGAAGACCCCTTGAAGAACCGCTGCGGAGGCTGTATCAATAACAGAGACACCTTCCTGCAGAACCCGCAGGTGAGGAGCTAAAGGGGTGCGATTGGAGGTGTGAAGGCACAGCCACGGTTCGGAGAGGAGAGCAAGGGGTCCAGCGCTCGTGCGTTAGGTGTCACCTCCCAAACGAGGCAGGCACTTAGGGATAATTAGAAGAGTCTTTATTCCATGCAAATATTCACAAGCCTCAAAACACGCACTCCAGGTGGGAAGTTGCCCCCTCGCTGTGACCCTGCTCATCCACAGCTCTGCTTACAAACCCTTCGGGGCCGCTCTCTGGAGGGGGGTGCACCGTGGAAGCGGGCACACCAGTGCTCTTCCCATTGAGCCCCTAATCGGTCTAGCCAGAGGGTGCGGCGATGGGCCCCTGCGTCCACATCTCCCGGGGTGTCGAGTTCCCCTCCCGAGAACCCCTCCCCAGCCTGTTCCCCACTGGCTGCATTCCCACAACCAGGAGGGAGGGGGGCTCTGTGGTTGTCCTTGAAACGCTTCGATCCAGAGCTGGCTCAGGCTGGCTCACCGGGAGGGTTCGGACAGCTGGGGCCTCGCTAGTCTCACCAGCTCCATTATCCGAGCGAGACCTCCGAGCCACGGCTGGGCCAGCTCTCCGCTCCCCTCCTCCGGCTCTGAGCCGCCATTCCCACCAGGGCCCTCCATCTCCCGTGCGCGCCTGGGAATCTCATCCGAGCGCGTGCGTGCGACATGTTGCATGCACACCCACACGTAACGCTTGCACACTCACCCAGCTTTTCTGTGCCTTTCTTTTTCTACCAGTATGTTTTTGATGTGAAGAAAACAGAAGATGAAGTACTTCTCTGCATTCAGCAGAAGCCCAAACGGACAAATCGGAAGGAGGGCAAAGGGGAGAACTTAGCCATAGGATTCGACATCTTTAAGGTAGGCTGGGAGGTGCCTCTGCCGCTGGGCTGCCTCTTTGGCCTGCTTCTCACAGGACAGTTTGGACTTGGCAGAAATTCTGCGGGAGCAAAGGATGCCTTTCTGTCTACGGAGGCTGGATGCTTTTCATTTTTCACCTCTGTACCTTCTGTCTGCCAGCAATCTTAGCACAACGTACTTTGGCGATAACCCTGTTTTCTCCTCCTATCAGTCCTGGGAACTAGGTCAAGTGGGAGGGGGGGAACTTCCTTCTGCCTTAATCAGGGCTTGGAACGTAGGTCCTGGGTTAGTGCTGTGTGCGCTCACATCCGGAGATCTCTGGCGAAGGGAGTTTAGTTTAAAGCGGGGCTGGACAACTCCGTGTTCTGCAGGATGTTTTGGAACCTCTGGAGGGCACCAGGTTAGCTGATCGCGTGGACCAGTGGTGGCGAACCTGTGGCACGCTTGCGCAGGGGGCACGCAGGGCCCTCTCTGTCGGCACGTGAGCCAAGTCGCCCCAGCATCGCCCCAGCAGCCGCGCATCGGATAACAGTGCACAGAGGGGCCATGCGCATGCTCGGAAAGGAGTAGCGGTGCCAGGCGATGACGTCACGAGCCACGACTCATTAGTCGCAACTCGTCCGAGCTTTCGCATGGCTGGTCAGTGCGCTGCCAAGGAGAGAGAGAGAGAGAGAGAGAGAGAGAGAGAGAGAGAGAGAGAGATGTGTGTGTGTGTGTGTGTGTGTGTGTGTGTGTGTGCTTGGTCTGGCTGTGAGTTTTAATACATTCATTTTTATGAACACAAGATTTTAGCTTTGCGTTTTCTTATGAAAAATTGAAATTTAATATCTAAGGTTTAGCAAAGAGATGTTCTAATTAAGAGACTGAGAGCCTTTTAATGTCGTGCTGCCCCCCCTGGCATATTTGTATCTGCAGCATGAAATTTAGCTGTTTTTTTCTAAACTAAAACCTCAGTTTCCAGGTTTCTTTGCAGTGTTGGCACTTTGCGATAAATAAGTGGGTTTTGGGGGTGTGGCTTGGGCTCTTGGTCTCCAAAAGGTTTGCCATTGCTGGCTGCGGGGTGCAGGCCAAGCTTCCGTGTCTTCCCCCAAGGATCCTAAGAGGCAGAAGGAAGCAACTTGTGGTCCTCCAAATGTCTTGGCCTAAAACTTCCATCAGGCCTTACCAGCGTAGCCAGTGGTAGGGGATGATGGGAGTTGTAGGCCGAAACCTCCGGCAAACTATAAATTGCCCACCCCTGCTGTAAGCCATTGCCAGTTTAAGCAAGTCAGTTTACTGTCCTACATTTTGAGCTTGGTTTTACCAACACTTGTTGAGTGGCTTTTGGTCTTTAACTGGCACCTCATTGGGCTGCTCTGGGGAAGGGGTTGCCCCATTGCAGGTTTAGCTGCATGCTAAATTTTTTAAAGATTTCCCTGAACTTGCTGATACCTCCCTCTCAGCTTTCAGTAGCTTATGGCTCCGCTTATTTATTTGTTTGTTTCATTTCAGTGCCGCCCCTTAGCCAAAGCTCTCTGAGCAGTTCACAATAATTAATCAAAAACAAAAAGGTACGGTGCCAATCCAAATCCAATAAAACAGTATAAAATTCCAGGGTGAGAATTTGAAACAGCTAAAAATGCCAGTATATAAAAATAGACAACAATTTAACTTATTTATTTATTTATTAAAACATTTCTATGCCGCCCCTTGCCAAAGCCTCAGGGCGGCTTACAACACAATAAAATACAATAAAATACAAAAATAACAATATAAAATTAAAATTAACAATATGAAATAAATAAAAAATATAAAACTTCCAAAACATTCCCATTGAAAACAGCAGACATAGCCATTAAATGCCTGGGAGTGGAGGACAATTTGACCTGACAACATAAGGATCACAATATTGGCACCAGGCAGGCCTTAGTGGGGAGACCGTTCCGCACTTGGGGGCCACCACTGAAAAGACTCTGCTCCTTGGTGCTTCCTTCTGCACATGTTACAAATGCGCAGGGAGTAAGAACATGGCAAGCCCGTGTGAATCTCGAACAGATAAGAAATAGACATGGGAAATGTCTGGTCCTTGACAGAAGAAAGGACTCTTTCTCCAGCATGGGAGGGGGTGCATACATTGACGTATAGGTGACCTAATTCGTTACCTAGGGTATCAAACGCATGTACTGGGGTGCAACTTTTGAGACACTGCTTTGGGCTGAATGTCCCCTTCTCTCTCCCTTTATTCTGTGGTGCACTAGAATAAAGCTGGATTTGGCTCTAAGTCTCGTCTCAGGCTCTGTTTGGCTTCGGGTCTGGGGTCCACCTGGTGTTTGCCCCAGCTGTTGACTGGCACAGTCCGGTAACAGTTTTACCTTGCTGCCTTGCAGGTGGCCGTCAGAGGAAGTTTCTAGGGGCAGGTCATAGGGTTCAGGCAGATGGAGCTCAGCAGAGGTATTCCCTCACTTCTTGATGTCCCAAGCCAGGTAGGGCTCTATAGGTTCAAAGCAGCACCTTGAATTGGCTTGAAGGCAGCCAGTGCAAGCCGGCCAGAACTGGTGTTCTGTGTATGGACCTTCTGGTCCCAGTTCTTAGTCTGGCTGTCACTTTTGTACAAGCAGCGGCTTCCGAACAGTCTCTAAGGGCAGCCCCATGGAGAGTGCATTGCAGTAGTCTAGCTTAGAGACTACCAGAGCATAGATCACTGAAGCGAGGCTGTTCCTGTCCAGATAGGGGTGCAGGTGGACCACCAGCCAACCGGTAGAAGGCACCCCATGCCACTGAGGCCACCTTTTCTGTTGGCACAGAAGTGCCGAGCTTACCATTAGAAGGTTTGGGGCAGAAGGTCCTGATTTCAGGCCCTAACATCTCCACTCTAAGGATCTCAGCTAGCAAAAACCTCCACCTGAGAGCTTAGATGGTTGATGCCGGTCAGAATAGACAGCGCCAAATACTTAACGCTGGTAGCTTTCACTGTGGGAAGGGAGCTGGGAGAAATCGAGTTGTGGCATCGAAACAATTTGGTCCTTGGAAGCAATGATGCCCCTGGAAAATGATGGGCAGGACCTGGCATCCCTCGCCCACAGCGCGCACCCACCTTTCCCTTTCTTTCACGCCTGATTCCACGCAGGTGGAGCTGAACCGGGGGTATCGGATGCACACGCTGCAGCCCAAGGTGGCCAGCTCCATCTACATCAACTCCCGCAGTGTGTTCCTGAGGACGGACCTGAAGGAAGGTCGCTACGTCATCATTCCGACCACCTTCGAGGCTGGCCACATGGCCGAGTTCCTTCTCAGGCAGTTCACGGATGTGCCTTCGGATTGCCAGTAAGAAACGGCCCTGCCCTTCCGTCCGTCCTTCCCCTGTTCCAACTCAACATAAGCACAGCTTTCTAGAGCCGCATGTCTGGGTGCATTTATTCCCCAGGTTTTATACACAGATGAATTTGTATGAATACTTTGCAACCTTCTTTCCCAATATCTCTTTATTTAAAAAGTTCACACCCTGTTTTTCTTATAAAAGATTGTATAAACCTGAAGTGGCTCCCAGGAAGAATGCAGCAGATAATATAAAACACCAATGAACACAGTTCAAATTACAGTTAAAAAGAGCAAATTAATGAAATCAATTTCGTACAAAAGTACCCAGAGAAAGCCCAAACAATTAAGCATAACATTCGGGAGAGAGCACTCCAAGCTATCCTAAAAGCTCAGTGAAGTAAGGGTGCTATTCTTCAAGACAGACTTGAGCTTCTCTTGGGAAGCTGTTCTGGTGCCACAGCAAAGAAGGTCCCGTCTTTCCTACCCTGTTTCTGAAAGGTGTGGGATGCACAGGAAGGCCTCAGTTGAATGCAGTGGCGGCAGCAGGGAGCAGGAAAAAGCCATGATTCAAATATCCTGCTCCCAAACTGTTTAGGGCTTTGTAAAACAGAACCAGCATTTTGATTTGCACTAAGAAATAAACTGGCAGCTGGTGGAAATTAAAGGAAACTGGGCCAGTATGATCAGCAAAGGAAACTCCAGAAATGCATTTTAATCTTTATGTATTTTCTATTCATGGCAGCAGACAATAAGATCGCAATTTAAAAAGGTGTTGCAGTTAAAACAGAATGTAAAAATGAACAGGGGAAAGCACAGCCGTGGAAACAGCTCGTTGCAATGTCAATTTCAGCCCCCCAGTTTAAGAACAGCTTATCTCAGCCTCTGCCTGCAGCAGGCAGGAGGCGGGGGACCAGCTCAGCCTCCCTGGCAGGGCCTTCTGGGGGCTGGGCACCACCCTGGGGAGCTCCCCTCTCGCATCGCTCCTCTGATGGTGCAAGACGGAGAGAAGGGACTCCCCCAAGATCTTAAAACAGTGGGAGAACGTGGCCTTCACCGGGCCTCCTGGGCCGCACGGGGCTTTTCGGGTCACGGTGCCCAGAAACTGGCCGACAGCAGCACCGCGATCCAGCTGCAGCCTCCAGGTGCTTTCCAGAGACAGCCCTGCGTGGGCGAGGCCACACAGGGCCGGGCTGAGCCCGGGCAGAATCCGTCCCGCTGGTGTCCCTGGCCTTCCTCTCATGCTGGGCCAGGTCTTGCAAAGCAAGCCGAGCGGAAGTGTGCGAGCGGCACGGAACGGAGGTCGCACAACGGGCAGCCGCCTTCTGCGTCGGGTGCCGCACGGGCAGCAGAGGGGTGTGGATTGCAGGGCCACAGCCCTGGCCGGCCCCGCTCAGCCAGCCGCCGTCCGTGTCCAGTGCAATCGGCCACACGTGGCGCAGAAAGAGAGGCTCTGCTGGCAGTTGCGCAGGGCCCGATTCTTCTGCACACGCGGAAACGCTTGCCGGGGACTCCGGCTCGAGGCTGCTGCAAAGCAGAGCGGAGCCCGGGAGCCAAGCCCAGGCGTCCAGCAGGCGCTCACCTGCAGGACAGGTTCGCCCCCATCCCTGGAGATGCCGCACTCCAGCCTCGGGGCCACCCGGCCTTCTGCACCACACCTCCTTGGTCCCTTTGTAGGCTATTTCCCAAGGGCTGCTGACTAAGCCGGCCCCCTTGCTCTGGGGCCCGGGCTACCGGCACCCCTGGCGGCCTTCAGGCCTGCTTGTGCTGCGTGGGATGGGGCCTGGCGTCGCGGGCTTGTTTATTTGTTTATTGATTAAGGAAAAGCTTTTTTAAGCTGCCCATCTACTGGCGTCTCAGGACGCTTCACAACAAGCAACCAGTAAAATAGGAAATAAAATGAAATGGTACCGCAATCGATAATCCGACAGTGTAGAACCACATCACGTTGCGGATTCGCAGCTGCCGACGCCTCTTGCATTTGTGTGTCTCTCTCCCTCCTCCCAGAGAGCTGACGCTGGACGAGCCGCCTCACACCTGCTGGAGCGGAATGTGCGGTTACCCGCAGCTGGTGTCGCAGGTCCACGTCATCTCGGCTTCTGGGCTGAAGAACCAGGGCTCTGAAGGAGGTAGGGCCCCGCTCCGTGCCAGTTCCCGACCCGACACGCCCCAAGCGGCAGCGCCGCGAAGCAAAACCTGAGCCCTGGAGCTGGGCGGTCGGACGTGGGACCTGCCGGTGCTGCTGGACCGGACCCTCATCAGTTCTAGGCATCCTGGCCGGGGATGAGGGATGCTGCTGGTTTGGACCCTCAACACCTGGAGGGGCAGAGGATCCCGGCTCCTGCGTGGGAGATGGATCCCATGTGAGGCCTGCGACCACCTGAAGTGCTAACAGGCCAGCAAGAGCTGTGCTGGGGGGAGCTGGCTTGGGTGGTCCTAAGACCCCTTGCCTGATTCTCCGAGTGCAGGCAGCCACCAGATGCGGGTGTGGGTATTCCGGAGGTGCTTTCTGCAGGTAGAAGGTGCAAATCTTCAAGCTGGGGGGGTCCCCCAAGAAAGTTTCGTGTGGGATCACCTGTCCTCAAGGTTCAGGGCCGTGCTGGGGTTTGCACAGGACTTGTGGGCCTGCCGGGCACCACTAATCAGAACTGACCTGGAACACTGTGACCAGTTCTGGGCACCAAGGTTTAAGAAAGATGCAGGTAAATAAGAAAGGTCCAGAGGAGGGCAAGAAAACTGATGCAGGATTTGGAAATGCTGCCCAAGAGGAGAGACTGAGAGAACTGGGCATGTTCGGCCTTGAGAAGAGAAGACTGAGGGGGGACATGAGATCCCTCTAGAAGAACCTCCAGGGCTGTCACAAAGAGGAAGGTCAACAACCCAAATTCAGGCTGGGCGTCAGGAAAAGCTTCCTCACTGCCAGAGCAAGACGGCAGTGGGACCAGCTGCCTGGAGAGGTGGGGGGCTCTCCCACACTGGGGGCATTCAAGGCGAAACTGGGCAGCCACCTGAGTGGGATGGTGTGGCTTGGTGTCCTGCAACAGTCGGGGGTGGACTAGATGGCCTTCAGGGTCCCTTCCAACTCTGCTCTTCTAGGATTCTAGGAGAAACGAGGGAGAAGGGGCAGGATGATTTCTTAGGTGATCTTTGGGTTTCAGTGCCCATTTCTGTTTGCTCAGGCGTGGATCCCTACGTGATCATCAAGTGCGAAGGAGAGAAAATCCGGTCGCCGGTGGTGAAGAGCACGGTGGCTCCAGAGTTCGACGTGAAGGGCCTCTTCTACCGCAAGAAGCCGGGACACCCTGTCGTCATCCAGGTGGGGCCTCGCTTGTCTGTGAAGCATTTCATGGCTGCAAACTGCTACTTTCACCGGCCGATTCGGTAGATGAGATACGTGGGCCTAGAAGAGACTTTTATGGCGAGAGACCCACACAGTCAGAGCTTCCCTTCTCCTCAGACTCATTCCAGATGTTCGTTGTATTCACGAAGCCACAACTGGGGTGGAGGAGCAGTTGCCACAGAAGGAGAGAACGAATGTGGCTTCCTAAGCATTCCAGCTTTCACCTTCCCCAGCGCTCCCTCAAAACATGGGTTTCTCAATTTTTCATAGTGCTTCACATTGCTACAGACTCTTTTACCACACACTAGCCATGCAGGTGTTTAAAACTTTTCTGGACAGTCGTGAGGACTAGAAACTTAGCTTCTAGATTTGACTGGAAATGAGTCACAGAAATCTCCCAGGGATGCGTGCAGTCCCAACAGCCTGTCTGCCTGTGCAATTGGATGGCATTTCTCACCTGCTTGTCTGTATGCTTCTGTTTCCTTTCCATTCAGGTCTGGAACCACAACCTTATAACAGATGAGTTTCTGGGCCAGGTGAGCCTTGCGGGGGACCCCAACGAGCTTCATCCAATGCACATCGTCCGTCTCCAGGACAAACGTGCCAACGTGCTTCCGGGAAGCCTCACGGTGCAGCTACTCAGTAGCAGTGTCCTCACCAACATCTGAACCACCCCAGGACAATTCCTCCCGTGCCATAAAGACACATGTATATATAACCTTGCGGTACGCAGGATATATATGTATATACTTGCCAACGTATATGTACTGTGCTCGAGTTTACTTCTTAAAGGGGACCAGGTCTCGCGTGTTTGATTTTCTGTTTGTTTGCTTTCATTTTTGAATTTTTATACAAAGGTGCCTTTCCCAAGAAGCAAAAATGTTTCTGCCCTGTGCTTGGTGTTCGGTTTTTTAACTCATCTGAGGCTTCCCTTGCGGCTCGTGATGGACAGCAGGGTGGAGTGAGAGGCCCCCAAAGCAATCCTGCTCTTCCGGGGCAGCTGCAGATCAGTGCCACGAGGTTACCTGTTTACACAGAGAGATGCGTCTCTCGTACCCACATGCGTTGCTCGGGGTGCGCCTTATCCCCAGCCCAGAGGTCCGTGTTGCCTAGAATGGCTCGTTTGTGTGTGTCTGGTGCTGTGGATTCAAAGAGGGGGAAAGGCAGAAGGGAGAGGATCCTTGGCTTGTGGGAGCTTGGGAAGAAAGCAGTGAAATCCATCGCCTGGGTACTTTCAACCCACACAGATGGCTAGTGCAGAACAAACCTTTGTCCGGGGCCGTATCCATGCTGTGATTTTGCATCAGTGCTGGAAAAGCACAGGAAGTTGTACTAAGCATAGAAATTACTGCACACAAGCGCTTCTTTTCTTTTTGCTCTTTTAAAAGATCAAGCTTCTAGTCCTCATTGTTGCAACAGCGTGAGCCATCTCAGAAAGTTGCAGACAAGGCCAGGGAACTGTAAAGGAGCATTCTCATTAACCTCAGACCCCATAATCACTGGAAGAAATCACTTTGATTTCAGTAGGCCTTGCCCGTATGCTGCCAGGCATACACTCTTAGCCTTAAGGACTAGAAACCTGTTCCATCTTAAAAAGAAAGTATCCATGACAGCCACCCCATTGTGGCACAGAGAATAAGTAGGGAGTGGAAGCAGTTTGCAGAACCTTTCTCAGTGAGAGGCTTTTCGTAGTGTCTTCCCCGTGCCATAAGAAGTTTTGCTTGTCTTTAAGGTGCCTTTGGACCATTCGTTGACGGTGTCTTCCATTCAGGCCTTGCATCTGGATAGAAAACGTCCTCTAGGCCAGCACATCCTTGAGTGCAGCCTTCCACTCAAACACTTTCCCCATAGAAAGACTCTCCTGCAGAAAGCTAAGGAAGCAAGGCCCTGGTTTATTGTGCTCTGATTTTTGTGCTCATACCTGGGAGTTGTAGGACTTTGGTCTGTCCAGCCTTGCACAGGGTTGCACCCTTAATAAATTCTCTGGGAGAACATTACATAGAAACAGATCGAGTCAGAAGGGGTCTCCCGGGCCATCTAGTCTGACCCCCAGCTCCTTCCCCCATCCCAAAGCTGACGTGGTACAGTCCAAGAAGGACATCGCCACATGATAAAGAAGCTGCAGCACCACTTTTTCATAGCAGTTAAATACATAGGCAAGGGAAGATGCTGTGAGTTACTCCAGTGGGGAGAGCAGGAGCGCTTTCAATCCAGGTTCTCGGCCTGCCTTTGCGATGCGTGTATTTTCCCACTGCGCTGTGGGACGCAGTTCCTCCACGGGTCCAACATCTCCGGATTGAAGTGGGAGGAAATTGCATTTTGAATGTTCCCCCAAGCGCTCTGTATTTCAGTGTGTGTGTGTGTGTGTGTGTGTGTGTGTGTGTGTGTGTAATCAAGGCCATGACCAATAAGCCATACCAACAAAAGATGGAGGACTTCATTTCATCCTGGTTTCTGGAGGACCAAAATACCTTCAGCTGCTTTGTTTATTTCTCTTGTTAAAAGAGCAAAAAAGTTCCTTCACTGCCTTTCCCACCGTTTGAAGGACACGGAGGTGGGTCTGACCAAACTGTGGCTTTTTCTTAATAAAACCAAGGTGGTTGGATGAGAAGGGAGAAGTGGAGATCCGTAGGTGGTGGTTTGAATTTAAGACCTGCTGTTTCCGTCACTCGTTTTGTATCTTTTCTTGACATTTCATGTAACTCGCACTTTATTCAGTAAATTATTCTTCATGACAAGTCTGAATGCAGATCAGGAGAAAATGTCTGGAAAATTCGCAGTTCTGAAAAGCTTTGGAATGAACTGGCTGTGTGTGGTTTGCCATTAAAAGCCAAAATCAAGCCACTGCTCTGGCTCTCAGTTAATACTCGGCTAGTCTAGTGTTGTCTTCCTTCCGTCCTGGAAGATATTGTGGCGTTGTGCAATTCTCGCTTACAGGCACCCAAAACAGTTCCCTAGTGCTGAACACAATAGCAAGGGCTGAGCCAGCTTTGGGCAGGGACACCCCCCTGCCTGACCCTTTTTCAGACCACAAAAAGCCCCTCTCCCATTTCAGTTATTTCCAGAGAAAGAGCAAAAGCTTCCCTCCAATTCAGACATGTGAATGCCAACCCTCTGTGTTTCCTCTCTCCGCACTGCCTGTGTCTTCCCTGCAGGATTTCCTGTGGATCCACCCCGCCCCCCAAATGCTTGGGGCTGTGGAAGGACCCCTTTGAGTCAGACCTTCTTCTAGACCGGGGGTCGGCAACTCGCGGCTCCGGAGCTGCATGTGGCTCTTGAACCCCTCTGCTGCGGCTCCGTCGTTCCAAACACCACAGCCGCCGATCTGCTCGAAGCTCCACTCAGGAAGGCAGCGCTAGCTAGTTAATTCAGCTAGTTAGGTAAACGCTACATTCCTCTGCTAAACAAGCTTCCTGCAGGCTCTCCCGTTACACGAAATGCTGCTGAAAGGATTCTCTTTGTCCCAGTGTAATCTCCTTTATCTGAATGTTAAAAGCTGCGCTTGGGACCTGTCACAATTCACAGCACTTGACTGTTTATCTGCTAATCAGTCACTAAACACACCTATATCTCTGCGGATCTGATCCAATTTACTGAGCTCCCCCCACCCCCCATAGGCCAGCCATGGATAAATCGAAGAAAAGAAAAGTTTCTGAAGAAAACCAAACGTTTAATGATACGTGGGTAGATTCATTTGCTTTTACTGCTGACGAACTTCTGGGGTTTGCTGTTTAATGCATGCAGCCCTTTAGCGCTGACTTTGACACTTCAGGAAGCTGTTCTCCTATTCAAATATATGACAGGAGTCCTACTAGTTTATAATGTAAGATTAAAAATGACAGTTTTTAATGACTGAACAAGAGCTGCAGCTAAATCATAATGAAGATATACATAGCATTATGGTAAAAAATGATATATGCAGTGTTGTCTTCATTTTAGATGTCAAAAGGGTTGTGTGGCTCCCGGTGTTTTCTTTTGTGTGGGAAACGGGTCCAAATGGCTCTTTGAGTGTTAATGGTTGCCGCCCCTGCTCTAGACAGCGCTACCCTACAAGGAATCCATCCCTCGCAGCTAGCACCCGAGCGAGCATTTCCAATACAAGCTGGTAGCCCCACCGGTTCCCCTCAGGGGCTCAGGAGCAGCTGCTGAAGGAGGAAAGAGACTTGACCCTCCTGTGTGTGAATGCCCTGGTTATTTGAGAGAAACGCTCCAAAGGAGGTCACCTTCGTCTCCATTTCATGGAGGTGGCCACATTCCCCTTCTTCGCTATTCTGATGTGCTTTCTCCCACTGCCCACGCAGAGTGAGGGCAAGGTGATACAGCAAACATTGCCCTCATTCCGAATTGGCTACTTTGCCTTCAGTGCCGGTGCCCCTCGTTCCAGATATGACCGGCCACTGGCACAGTGCCATCATTGCGTTCTCTGCCAGGTGACAAAATAGGCCCCCAAAGCAGCTGTTCAGAAACAGAAAAGCAGGAACAGGCACAGAAAGCAAATGTTTGGATCCATTTAGGAAGCCTCTGAGGAACGGACAGAAGTCCCGGCCCAGTAGGGCTGGGACCCCAAATCTTTCATTTGGAGCCCCAAATTCAGAAATTGCCCCCGCACCACCCATGAACACTTGCTGAAATCAAGGTCCAAGCCCTGGGGATCTCTCTTGCATGGCATCGCTCTATAACAGAGGTATTTTGCCTTCACGCACTTTAGTACCTCACACCAGATCTTCTCCCCCGAAGCTTTTCCTGAAATCAACAGCCTTCCTTTCCCCTGTCTATGCATTCCTTTTTTAAAGGGGGGGGGGGAGGTGTCCTTTGGTGACAAGTTTCTTTAGTGACACATGCACAGGAATTAGCGTGTGCAAACTGCTTTATTTAGGTCCTATAGCAGTGATAGCGAACCTTTTAGAGACCGAGTGCCCCAACTGCAACCCAAAACCCACTTATCGCAAGCAGACTCCCTGCCTGAGCTGATGGAGATCGTCTTGGACCTGGTGTTGAAGACTCCCAGGATGCTGGTCCTGGGGGACTTCAGTCTCCATGCTGAGACGGTTCTGATCGGGGCGGCCCAGGACTTCATGGCCTCCATGACGGCCATGGGGCTGTCTCAACATGTCACCAGCCCGACCCATGAATGTGGACACACGCTGGACCTGGTTTTCTCGACGGGGCAGGAAGAGGGTGATCTGAGGGTGAGGAATTTGTGTCTGACTCCCCTGTCATGGTCAGATCACTTCCTCGTGAGGTTTGAGCTCGATGGCGGCCCTTCCCTCTGTAAGGGTGCGGACCCGATTGTGCTGGTCCACCTCCGGAGCCAGTTGGATCCGGATGGATTCCTGAAGGCCCTGGGGGAGTTTCCGGCTGACAAGACTGGTGCTCCTGTTGATGCTCTGGTCAAACTATGGAATGGGGAAATGACCAGGGCGATTGACACCATCGCTCCCAAGCGTCCTCTCCCACCTGGCAGAGCCCGTTCATCCCCCAGGTATACACCTGAACTACAGGCGATGAAGCGGGTTGGGCAACGTCTAGAGCGTAGGTGGAGGAAAGCATGCGATGAATCTGACCGAACACACTTAAGAGCCCATTTTCGGGCCTATGCTGTGAGAGAAGAAATTCTTCTCCGCTTCCATTGCCTCCTCACGGTTCATCCGGGCCCCAAGAAGGATCCAGTACCGCCCTCGATGGCCCACTGTGACGACTTTGCCAAGCATTTTAAGGAGAAAATCGCTCAGATTCGTCACGAGCTGGACTCCACTGGTGACCCAGAGCCTTCAGGGGAGGAGCCAATGTTGCCGTCTGGTCCGACATTGATGGATGAGTTTCAGTTATTGCGGCCTGAAGATGTGGACAAGGTGCTTGGACAAGTACGTCCCACCACCTGTTTACTGGACCCTTGGACGTCGTGGCTGCTGACCAAAGCCAAACACGGGACTGGTGCCTGGATCCTGGAGGTCATCAACGCCTCTCTGAGGGATGGCCGGGTACCTGCCCCCCTAAAGGAGGTAGTAGTCCGGCTGGTCCTAAAGAAGGCGTCCCTGGATCCAGCGATGGCCACCAATTATAGACCAGTGGTCAACTTCCCGCTTCTGGGCAAGGTGTTAGAGCAGGTGGTGGCGGGACAACTCCAAGCACTCTTGGATGAAACGGATTATCTGGGCCCATTTCAGTCTGGCTTCAGGCCCGGGTTTGGTACTGAATCTGCCTTGGTCGCCCTGTACGATGACCTGTGCAGGGAGAGAGACGGGGAGTGCGTCCCTGTTGGTCCTCCTGGACCTCTCAGCGGCTTTCGATACCATCGACCATGGTATCCTTCTGGATAGGCTAGCGGGATTGGGAGTCGGAGGCACTGCTTTGCAGTGGTTCCGCTCCTATCTCAACGGCCGATACCAGAAGGTGGTGCTGGGGGACTATGGCTCTGCGCCATGGCAGCTATGCCATGGAGTACTGCAGGGGTCCATTCTATCCCCTTTGCTGTTTAACATCTACATGAAACCGCTGGGAGAGGTCATCCGGAGGTGTGGGCTGCGGAATCATCAGTATGCTGATGATACCCAGCTCTACCTCTCGTTCTCCACCAATCCAGGTGAGGCAGTGGCCGTGCTGAACCGGTGCCTGGCCGAGGTAATGGGCTGGATGAGGGCCAATAAACTGAAGCTCAATCCAGACAAGACGGAGGTCCTGTTGGTGGGTGAATTGGGCTTCGGGATGGGGGACCTGAGCCTTGTCCTGAATGGGGTTGCACTCCCTCTTAGGGACAGGGCCCGCAGCTTGGGAGTGCTCCTCGACCTGGAGCTGACTTTGGAAGCTCAAGTGTCGGCGGTGGCGAGGAGCGCTTTCCATCAGCTTCAGCTGATCCATCAGCTGCATCCCTACCTGGAGGATGGCTGCCTAGCGACAGTGATGCATGCATTGGTTACTTCCCAGTTGGATTTCTGTAACGCGCTCTACGTGGGGCTGCCCTTGAAGACAGTCCGGATACTTCAGATGGCGCAAAATACAGCTGCCAGGTTGCTGACGGGGACTGGGCGTTACTCTCACATAACCCCAGTCCTCTACCAGCTTCACTGGCTTCCCATTGAAGTCCGGACCCAATTCAAGGTGTTGGTTATCACCTATAAAACCCTTAACGGCTTGGGTCCTTGTTATCTAAACGAGCACTTGTGTCCATATATGCCCTCCCACCCCTTGAGTTCGGCAGCAGAGGCCCTTCTCTGGGAACCCTCCGTGAAGGAAATTAGGAGGGTGAGTACCTGGAGGAGGGCCTTCTCTGCAGTGGTGCCCCATCTGTGGAATGCGCTCCCCAGAGAGGTCCGCCTGGCGCCGTCGTTATTTGTTTTTCAGCACCAGGCCAAGACCTTTTTATTTAAACAATATTTTAATAATTATTAATATTCTTTATTGGTTTTAAAATTTTTAGCCAGGGGGAATCCAGATTTTATATGTATCTATTTATATGATTGTTTATTTATTATGTTGGAAGCCATCCCGAGGCTTATGCGAATGGGACGGCATACAAAAATTCCAAATAAATAAATAAATAAGTGCCAACACTGCAATAAAACCTAAAAACTGAGGTTTTGGTTTAGAAAAAACAACTCACAGCCAGTCCAAGCATATATACATACATATATCTCCCCCTTTGGCAGCAAAAGCAAAGCTCAGATGAGTTGCGGCTAATGAGTCGCGGCTCGTGACATCATCTCCTGCGCCGCTACTCCTTTCTGAGCATGCGCATGGTCCCCATGTGCGCTGTTATCCGATGCTCGGCTGCTGGGGCGATGCTGGGGCGACTTGGCTCGCGTGCCGGCAGAGAGGGCTCTGTGTGCCCCCTGCGCAAGCG